ATATAAGTCTGGATCAATCACAGTCGACCGCTTCATGGTTAATCATCCTGACAATCATTGAGCAGCAGACCATGTCCACCTCCTCATCTTCAACCGCCATGTGCAAACCCCCAGAGTCAAATGAGGACAGCAGCTCAACTAAGACTACCATCACCACTGTAGTCAAGGAGACAGTTGAAAATCAAACCTTCCATGGAATCAGAAAGGACGTCACTGCTGCAGAGTTACGTGAATCAAAAATCATCAATGAGGACCTCTTCAAAAGTCTTACTACTGGGAGTGTCACAGTGACGGAGGTTAGTGAGATGGATTCAGTGCGTAAGTACCTTGAGGGGACCAACAGCATTGCAGGAGTGTACCTGCAGTCTACCAAAGAGACCCTTAGTATCTATGAGGCCAAAGGCAAAAGTCTGCTAACTCCTGGTACATCTCTGATCCTGCTAGAGGCCCAAGCTGCCACTGGCTTCGTCATAGACCCAGTCAACAACAAGAAACTTTCTGTAGAGGAAGCAGTAGCTCAAAAGGTGGTCGGCGGTGAGTGGAAAAACAAACTGCTTTCAGCTGAAAGGGCAGTTACAGGATACATAGATCACTACACTGGGAGGAACCATTTTCCTTGTTCCAGGCCTTGAAGAAGGATCTAATTGTCAAAGATCATGGAATTCGTCTCCTTGAGGCACAAATTGCCACCGGAGGCATAATTGACCCAGTCCACAGTCACAGAGTGCCTGTACAGGTGGCATACCAAAGAGGTTACTTTGATGAAGAGATGAACCAGATTCTGTCTGACCCTGATGACGACACAAAGAGCTTCTTTGATCCCAACACAAAAGAGAATCTCACCTATCTTCAGCTGATTGAAAGGTGTATCATAGATCCCGTCACAGGCCTCAGCTTACTGGTGATTGCAAAGAAAGGGGAGTTGTACTTCTTTGTTGATGAGGCAACAAAACTCATTCTGAAATCCACCACAACAACCAAAGCAGGAGGGAAATATCGAGGAGCAACAGTGTCTCTGTGGAATCTGCTCTACTCCAAGTACATCACTGAGGAGAAGAGGAGAGAGCTTGTCCAGCAATATAAGTCTGGATCAATCACAGTCGACCGCTTCATGGAAATCATCCTGACAATCATTGAGCAGCAGACCATGTCCACCTCCTCATCTTCAACCGCCATGTGCAAACCCCCAGAGTCAAATGAGGACAGCAGCTCAACTAAGACTACCATCACCACTGTAGTCAAGGAGACAGTTGAAAATCAAACCTTCCATGGAATCAGAAAGGACGTCACTGCTGCAGAGTTACGTGAATCAAAAATCATCAATGAGGACCTCTTCAAAAGTCTTACTACTGGGAGTGTCACAGTGACGGAGGTTAGTGAGATGGATTCAGTGCGTAAGTACCTTGAGGGGACCAACAGCATTGCAGGAGTGTACCTGCAGTCTACCAAAGAGACCCTTAGTATCTATGAGGCCAAAGGCAAAAGTCTGCTAACTCCTGGTACATCTCTTGTGCTGCTAGAGGCCCAGGCTGCCACTGGCTTCGTCATAGACCCAGTCAACAACAAGAAACTTTCTGTAGAGGAAGCAGTAGCTCAAAAGGTGGTCGGCGGTGAGTGGAAAAACAAACTGCTTTCAGCTGAAAGGGCAGTTACAGGATACATAGATCCCTACACTGGAGGAACCATTTCCTTGTTCCAGGCCTTGAAGAAGGATCTCATCGTCAAAGATCATGGAATTCGTCTCCTTGAGGCACAAATTGCCACCGGAGGCATAATTGACCCAGTCCACAGTCACAGAGTGCCTGTACAGGTGGCATACCAAAGAGGTTACTTTGATGAAGAGATGAACCAGATTCTGTCTGACCCTGATGACGACACAAAGGGCTTCTTTGATCCCAACACAAAAGAGAATCTCACCTATCTTCAGCTGATTGAAAGGTGTATCACAGATCCTGTCACAGGCCTCAGCTTACTGGTGATTGCAAAGAAAGGGGAGATGTACTTCTTTGTTGATGAGGCAACAAAACTCATTCTGAAATCCACCACAACAACCAAAGCAGGAGGGAAATATCGAGGAGCAACAGTGTCTCTGTGGAATCTGCTCTACTCCAAGTACATCACTGAGGAGAAGAGGAGAGAGCTTGTCCAGCAATATAAGTCTGGATCAATCACAGTCGATCGCTTCATGGAAATCATCCTGACAATCATTGAGCAGCAGACCATGTCCACCTCCTCATCTTCAACCGTCATGTGCAAACCCCCAGAGTCAAATGAAAACAGCAGCTCAACTAAGACTACCATCACCACTGTAGTCAAGGAGACAGTTGAAAATCAAACCTTCCATGGAATCAGAAAGGACGTCACTGCTGCAGAGTTACGTGAATCAAAAATCATCAATGAGGACCTCTTCAAAAGTCTTACTACTGGGAGTGTCACAGTGACGGAGGTTAGTGAGATGGATTCAGTGCGTAAGTACCTTGAGGGGACCAACAGCATTGCAGGAGTGTACCTGCAGTCTACCAAAGAGACCCTTAGTATCTATGAGGCCAAAGGCAAAAGTCTGCTAACTCCTGGTACATCTCTGATCCTGCTAGAGGCCCAAGCTGCCACTGGCTTCGTCATAGACCCAGTCAACAACAAGAAACTTTCTGTAGAGGAAGCAGTAGCTCAAAAGGTGGTCGGCGGTGAGTGGAAAAACAAACTGCTTTCAGCTGAAAGGGCAGTTACAGGATACATAGATCCCTACACTGGAGGAACCATTTCCTTGTTCCAGGCCTTGAAGAAGGATCTCATCGTCAAAGATCATGGAATTCGTCTCCTTGAGGCACAAATTGCCACCGGAGGCATAATTGACCCAGTCTACAGTCACAGAGTGCCTGTACAGGTGGCATACCAAAGAGGTTACTTTGATGAAGAGATGAACCAGATTCTGTCTGACCCTGATGACGACACAAAGGGCTTCTTTGATCCCAACACAAAAGAGAATCTCACCTATCTTCAGCTGATTGAAAGGTGTATCACAGATCCTGTCACAGGCCTCAGCTTACTGGTGATCGCAAAGAAAGGCGAGTTGTACTTCTTTGTTGATGAGGCAACAAAACTCATTCTGAAATCCACCACAACAACCAAAGCAGGAGGGAAATATCGAGGAGCAACAGTGTCTCTGTGGAATCTGCTCTACTCCAAGTACATCACTGAGGAGAAGAGGAGAGAGCTTGTCCAGCAATATAAGTCTGGATCAATCACAGTCGATCGCTTCATGGAAATCATCCTGACAATCATTGAGCAGCAGACCATGTCCACCTCCTCATCTTCAACCGTCATGTGCAAACCCCCAGAGTCAAATGAAAACAGCAGCTCAACTAAGACTACCATCACCACTGTAGTCAAGGAGACAGTTGAAAATCAAACCTTCCATGGAATCAGAAAGGACGTCACTGCTGCAGAGTTACGTGAATCAAAAATCATCAATGAGGACCTCTTCAAAAGTCTTACTACTGGGAGTGTCACAGTGACGGAGGTTAGTGAGATGGATTCAGTGCGTAAGTACCTTGAGGGGACCAACAGCATTGCAGGAGTGTACCTGCAGTCTACCAAAGAGACCCTTAGTATCTATGAGGCCAAAGGCAAAAGTCTGCTAACTCCTGGTACATCTCTGATCCTGCTAGAGGCCCAAGCTGCCACTGGCTTCGTCATAGACCCAGTCAACAACAAGAAACTTTCTGTAGAGGAAGCAGTAGCTCAAAAGGTGGTCGGCGGTGAGTGGAAAAACAAACTGCTTTCAGCTGAAAGGGCAGTTACAGGATACATAGATCCCTACACTGGAGGAACCATTTCCTTGTTCCAGGCCTTGAAGAAGGATCTCATCGTCAAAGATCATGGAATTCGTCTCCTTGAGGCACAAATTGCCACCGGAGGCATAATTGACCCAGTCTACAGTCACAGAGTGCCTGTACAGGTGGCATACCAAAGAGGTTACTTTGATGAAGAGATGAACCAGATTCTGTCTGACCCTGATGACGACACAAAGGGCTTCTTTGATCCCAACACAAAAGAGAATCTCACCTATCTTCAGCTGATTGAAAGGTGTATCACAGATCCTGTCACAGGCCTCAGCTTACTGGTGATCGCAAAGAAAGGCGAGTTGTACTTCTTTGTTGATGAGGCAACAAAACTCATTCTGAAATCCACCACAACAACCAAAGCAGGAGGGAAATATCGAGGAGCAACAGTGTCTCTGTGGAATCTGCTCTACTCCAAGTACATCACTGAGGAGAAGAGGAGAGAGCTTGTCCAGCAATATAAGTCTGGATCAATCACAGTCGATCGCTTCATGGAAATCATCCTGACAATCATTGAGCAGCAGACCATGTCCACCTCCTCATCTTCAACCGTCATGTGCAAACCCCCAGAGTCAAATGAAAACAGCAGCTCAACTAAGACTACCATCACCACTGTAGTCAAGGAGACAGTTGAAAATCAAACCTTCCATGGAATCAGAAAGGACGTCACTGCTGCAGAGTTACGTGAATCAAAAATCATCAATGAGGACCTCTTCAAAAGTCTTACTACTGGGAGTGTCACAGTGACGGAGGTTAGTGAGATGGATTCAGTGCGTAAGTACCTTGAGGGGACCAACAGCATTGCAGGAGTGTACCTGCAGTCTACCAAAGAGACCCTTAGTATCTATGAGGCCAAAGGCAAAAGTCTGCTAACTCCTGGTACATCTCTGATCCTGCTAGAGGCCCAAGCTGCCACTGGCTTCGTCATAGACCCAGTCAACAACAAGAAACTTTCTGTAGAGGAAGCAGTAGCTCAAAAGGTGGTCGGCGGTGAGTGGAAAAACAAACTGCTTTCAGCTGAAAGGGCAGTTACAGGATACATAGATCCCTACACTGGAGGAACCATTTCCTTGTTCCAGGCCTTGAAGAAGGATCTCATCGTCAAAGATCATGGAATTCGTCTCCTTGAGGCACAAATTGCCACCGGAGGCATAATTGACCCAGTCCACAGTCACAGAGTGCCTGTACAGGTGGCATACCAAAGAGGTTACTTTGATGAAGAGATGAACCAGATTCTGTCTGACCCTGATGACGACACAAAGGGCTTCTTTGATCCCAACACAAAAGAGAATCTCACCTATCTTCAGCTGATTGAAAGGTGTATCACAGATCCCGTCACAGGCCTCAGCTTACTGGTGATTGCAAAGAAAGGGGAGATGTACTTCTTTGTTGATGAGGCAACAAAACTCATTCTGAAATCCACCACAACAACCAAAGCAGGAGGGAAATATCGAGGAGCAACAGTGTCTCTGTGGAATCTGCTCTACTCCAAGTACATCACTGAGGAGAAGAGGAGAGAGCTTGTCCAGCAATATAAGTCTGGATCAATCACAGTCGATCGCTTCATGGAAATCATCCTGACAATCATTGAGCAGCAGACCATGTCCACCTCCTCATCTTCAACCGTCATGTGCAAACCCCCAGAGTCAAATGAAAACAGCAGCTCAACTAAGACTACCATCACCACTGTAGTCAAGGAGACAGTTGAAAATCAAACCTTCCATGGAATCAGAAAGGACGTCACTGCTGCAGAGTTACGTGAATCAAAAATCATCAATGAGGACCTCTTCAAAAGTCTTACTACTGGGAGTGTCACAGTGACGGAGGTTAGTGAGATGGATTCAGTGCGTAAGTACCTTGAGGGGACCAACAGCATTGCAGGAGTGTACCTGCAGTCTACCAAAGAGACCCTTAGTATCTATGAGGCCAAAGGCAAAAGTCTGCTAACTCCTGGTACATCTCTGATCCTGCTAGAGGCCCAAGCTGCCACTGGCTTCGTCATAGACCCAGTCAACAACAAGAAACTTTCTGTAGAGGAAGCAGTAGCTCAAAAGGTGGTCGGCGGTGAGTGGAAAAACAAACTGCTTTCAGCTGAAAGGGCAGTTACAGGATACATAGATCCCTACACTGGAGGAACCATTTCCTTGTTCCAGGCCTTGAAGAAGGATCTCATCGTCAAAGATCATGGAATTCGTCTCCTTGAGGCACAAATTGCCACCGGAGGCATAATTGACCCAGTCCACAGTCACAGAGTGCCTGTACAGGTGGCATACCAAAGAGGTTACTTTGATGAAGAGATGAACCAGATTCTGTCTGACCCTGATGACGATACAAAGGGCTTTTTTGATCCCAACACAAAAGAGAATCTCACCTATCTTCAGCTGATTGAAAGGTGTATCACAGATCCCGTCACAGGCCTCAGCTTACTGGTGATTGCAAAGAAAGGCGAGTTGTACTTCTTTGTTGATGAGGCAACAAAACTCATTCTGAAATCCACCACAACAACCAAAGCAGGAGGGAAATATCGAGGAGCAACAGTGTCTCTGTGGAATCTTCTCTACTCCAAGTACATCACTGAGGAGAAGAGGAGAGAGCTTGTCCAGCAATATAAGTCTGGATCAATCACAGTCGATCGCTTCATGGAAATCATCCTGACAATCATTGAGCAGCAGACCATGTCCACCTCTTCATCTTCAACCGTCATGTGCAAACCTTCCTTTACACAAGTGAAGTGAAGCTTTATACAAATATTCCTCTTGTTTCTTACCGGCTTCATCAGTTTTCTCGAGTGGGATTTTTGTGGGATTGTTTTTTCTTAATTACAAAATAGTTTTACTGTGTTTTCACAGATGCATTCCCAGTTTTTAATTAGGGAATCAACCATTTTACATTTTGAATACTCATTGTACCTATAATATTGTGTCGTGTAATTTGTTGCAACAATGCATTCTTTTCTCAGATGTACGTAGATATGATTTAGCTGAGCATACTTTTACCTGGCCTATAGATCTTATAATATTCAGGCAACAGCTTTTCTCACTGAAATATTTTGTTTGTTGAGTAGATTCTGTGTTGACCTTACCTGGAAGAAAATATGTATTTTTGGAAAACCTATCTTGCTTCAACTGTCAATTTTGTGGCCCAATAAACAAGTGAGATAAGACCACGTGTTGGGTCTTTTGTTATGTTAGAACATTGTGACATTTTTTACTTGATGTGTATGTTAGTTCAATACAAAATTATTTCCTTGTTGAAGAGTCCATTTGTGGGTTGGACAACTTTTAGAGCCCTAAAAGTAACCGTAACACTTCCTCTTTATTTATAATTATTATATATATATATGTATAACCATATAGTAATTTGTAGCGTGTAAGATTATGAAATGAGTCTTTCATTTACAAACCTTTTATTCAATTTCCCTCAACAGCAGTATGAATGCAACAATAATGACCTCACTATGTCATTATGTACATATACCTTGAGAGTACTCTAGTGGAAAGACGGTTTCTAAGACACTTCATAACAATGTGGTGAACGTTCATTTTAATGTCAAATATTTATTGACAAATCTTTGAATGGTATTATTATAAAAATGTATCTGTGTATTTAAAACAAAAGAGGAAACAAACTAGGAATCTGGGGGGCACACAACTGAATGTCTATGTAGATTGGAAGTTGAGGTCATTCATAGGAATGTATTTAAATAGAACATGTCAATGTCAGCCCTAAGCTATTTAGAACAGGCAGTGCTCTTACCTTGTAATATCTGACAGTATTACAGCAGCAACAGGTTTTCTCAGTGGATTCCACACACTTGCTTTCTAGAACAGTAAGGAGGGCTTTTGCATGAACGGTTTCATGAGCATGTTATACATAGAAAATATCATTTACAAAAACGCTTTCCTCCAACAACAATCCATTGTCCATCTTTACTTGAACCACATCATCCACAAAAAGGTGTGTTTTGGCATTCATCTAAGCCTGGATCCATTTCTGGAACCAAATGAATATGGCAACTACTCAAATTTGTCCAGCAGCTGGCGAATGTCCTCTTGGCCACGGTATATTCTCTTCAGTCCTCTTGCAAAGTACCGGCAGGATGAAAGGTTTAGGTAGCTTAGAGCAGTGACTTGCCTGATGACTGGCCTGCAAAAAAATGACACAGACCGTTTTTAATGTCAATGACGATGCTAAACCTGCATTTCTATGGATTTATAAATGCTTATACTGCAAATTGTTCTCTCTTATAAAGTTTTGGTTCATATTTTATTGGACTGCGAGAGTTAAGATGGAAAACTAAACAATGAGTACCTTAGAGCACGTGGTGTGATCCTGGTCCCACTCAGGTTAAGTGAACGCAGGGCGTCTGCCTCTGTGGAGTGAACAAGGTGACTCATCGCCATCTCCAAGTCCTCCTCGGTGAAGAGCTGGTTTGCGATGTCAAGCTGTTGCAGTGTTCGACTCCATTTCTGGGTCACCATGTGAAGCCCCTTCTTAGGTGATGGCAATCCAACGTTGCTGCTGAAATACTGTCCCCAGAACAGACACTCAAGCTCTGCCAAAGAAAACAAAAAAAGGAATATCGATTCATAAATTGGTTTTTGATACAACTTCAGATCACTAATATTATGAACATAGCTGGGTATTGTATTAGTAAATTCAAAAATATACAAGAGCTGAGTTATATTAAGCATAAAGAAGAACAGCGCAAGATGACTTATTTCTATGACCCCAATAAATGTTCAAATCATTGACGAGAAAAATATGAAGAAAAAACCCCTCTAAGCCTTTGTGTTAGTGTTAACATCTCCAAATTGAATATAGATGGCATGAGTTATACCTACCAAGACATGGTAGTGTTGAGAGGCCGGATGGTGTGATTCGAGAACAGCCTCGCAGGTCCAACACCCGCAGCCTGGTGGAGCCAAAGAGGATGTCCATCAAGTCTTTGTCTGTCATAGAAGAATAAGACGTGGTAGCGATACACAGCTCCTCCATCAACGGGAAGCCCGCCGTTGAGTCTGCACCGTTACGCATCATCTTATGCAGAGGTCTGACATTCAGCATGCGGAAGGTCTGATGGTACAACAGAAGATGAATATATGAATTAGTTACAGGTAAACATGGTCCACACATACAGCAAACTAATTCATTACACACAGACCACATGATTGTTGAATGTAGCAATAGATAGAACTTAAAGCTGCAATTAACTAACAATTAATCCAATCAATTTTCCTTCCGTTTTTTTCTTCATTACCAAATTTTACAAATAAAATGTTAGAAATTCTCTGACCGATATTCAGTTTAGGACATATATAGGACAAATAAAAAGCATTAACGCTTCACACCTGAAAACAAGGTAACTGCAAATGTTTTCCTTTTAAAATGACTAAGAATTAATCAGTTACACATCATATGTACACAAGAGCTGCATTATCTATGCTGATCTATGATAAATTACCTGTTTACCTTCAGTTTAGGGCATGCTATCTGCAGTGCCCGAATGCAAATGGGAAGTTCACAACCTTTACTGTCGAGCTTAGTGTTGACCTCCAGCAACTCCAAATCAGGACAGTTCCCCCTCTGAAGAGACAAGTGCCATTTGATGAGAGTCTGTGAAGCATAAATCAAAGGGGAACCGAGGAGAGCAAAGGGATGTGGGGCTTACGGTGATGGCGTTGAGAAGTCGGTCATTCTTTGATCCATGAGTGAACCAAATTTGTTTGATCTGGCTGCCATGATTTTCGAGGTACTCCAGGAGTCCCTCGACCTGAAACTACAACAAAAACACATTTTCTGAAAACTACCAATTCAGTGTTAAATGAACACCGGCATGGATTTTCTGGATATGACGGGTGCATCAAACTGGACCATAACTATTCATTATTCAGAGATCCTTCATTCATTCTGGTAAGTAGACAAACACAGAGGTAAACAGTTCTTAAGTGTTGAGAGTTATGGCTGCAAACCACTCTACAGAGTTGTAGATGTACCTCTGAGTATTGGAGATTGATGCTCTCCAGAGACCGGCCGTGTAGAGCCAGAGTGTGGAAGGCTGTCGCCGTCAGGCCTGTACAGTAGGAGAGCTTGAGGGCACGTAGGTGAGGGCAGAACTGCGACACAATCTAAACATGGGAGAAAAAAAAATGTAAATGAATTAAATTAGGAAAATTAGAAACTTACAATAACCATTAAATACTTTGTTGAAGCACCTTTTGATTTTATTACACCACTGAGTCCCTTTTGGGCTGCAATCTACACATAAGCATGGCCCACCACTCGCAAAAGCACTCCACACGTGTCAGATTGTCACAGGCCTCTTCACATCACCACACTGATGTTCATCTGGATTCAGGTCAGGCCCCCCCCCCGCTTCACTGTGGTGTTATTATTATTATATGTCATTTAGCTGACGCTTTTATCGAAAGCGACTTACAATAAGTGCATTCAACCATAAAAAATACAAACTCAGAAGAACAAGAAAGTGCAATTTCCTCAAATAAGCCAATTTACAATTTGATATAGATAAGAGCCATTAAAAGTACAATTTAAGTGCATCAATTTGTTAGTCTTTTAGTCGAGTCTGAAGAGGTGTGTCTTTAGTGTTCTTTGGGTGATGTGCAGTGCTGTTTTTCTGTCAAACATACCTTTTAGAATCCTGGCCAGAAGGTTTAGCCTTGGTTTCACCAGAACATAACTCATTTACCCACATGCTTATTGGAGACTTGATGTATGTTTTTAGCCGGGCTTGGATTCTTTTTCTTGGTAAAAAATAGGCTTCTGTCTTGCCACCCTACCCCATAGCCTAAACCTACGAAGGACACGGAAGATAGTTGTCACATGTAGTACACAGTCAGACATTCCTGCAGCTCCTTTAATGTTGCTGTAGGCCTCTTGGATGCTTCCCTGACCTGTTTTCCTTCTCGTCTTTTCATCAATTTTGGTCGGACGTCTAGTTGTTGGTAATGTCACTGTTGTGCCATATTTTCTTTTGTAATCAAATTATAAAGGTTATTTGCCACTGCCAGAGCATCCAAGTTTAATTGCGATTGTTGGACATCGCATTGCTAGATAAATAAGTTACGCTATACAATCCTAACATAACAGGAGAGTTTTTTATTTTCTGTATAGGTACTGTAACGGTTTGTGTATAGAAGTGTATTTAGTCAGTGAGCAACAGACTTACAAAATAATAAAAAAAATTTAACTGCTAATGCGCAATAAAATGATTGTTGGCATTAATTTATTTATGCGTTAACGGAATAACGCGTTAACTTCAACTAATTTCTTTCCTAATGTCGAATCTTATTATTCAGAACAAAGTTAAATCCATCCTATTAGCACTCAAATAAGGAATACTTAGGTTGATTTATCAATAGTTAATTTCTTATTTTATTGATTCATAATATACTTTTTTGTTATTTCTCTGGGGCAAACAAGATTTCCGTATAATATTAGTTTCCTTTTTACTGTATGACAAGGAACGCAATCAAAGTCTCACCCTTGACAGGCTCGATCCAGCAAGTATTTGGGGATAAAAACTAACAGGTGCCACATGATTGTCTAAATAACATAATATGTTTTCATTTCACAAGCTTATGAAATAGTATATTGAAGAGGCTGGACGAAAAGCCTTGACAACGTACCTCAACTGCAAAGGGAACATTCTTTGACCAGTGACAGAGAGAAAAGTCTCGAAGCTGAGAGAATCTAGAGAACAAAAAGGAAACAAAACAAAAAGTTTATTCTTTATTTCTCAAGATATATGGAATACAAGATGAGCACACAGTACATCACTGCTCCAAAACAACTAATAATTCAGACCTGTTCTGTGCCAGCCAGTTAAAAGTGTCCTTAATCTTCTTCTCGGTTTTTGGGAGCTGAGATTTTCCCGGTGCAATCCAGCAGTGACCTACAGTGACTTTACGCCACAGGACCGCACTGGAGGCCGCGGCGTTCCACAGGCGGCAAACTTGTCCGACCCTACACCAGAGAACACAGAACAAACTACAGTTACCACTTCGCAGTTGTATTCCTCTGCCAACCACGCTGCAGTTTACATCTATGAGTGTACAAAAAGGCCTTTCGCGGAAATATGTTAATTTACAAAAATATCTGCCGTTCAAACCGTTCATAAACTAATCATTATCTTCAGTCCTCGACAAATACCATGCTAGTTTTTCTGAAATTGTTTAAAACTGTCATGTATTGCTATTGTTCATAGATATCCTTCATAGATATGCTTAGATATCCTTTTTTTGCATTAACATGCTATGATCATATTCTAAACATATGTTTCAACTAAAAGTCTACAGACAATATCACTTAAAAACAGGATTGACTGTTCTTACGCACTTAATAGTTGAAAATATAAATCCCAGATTTGTAAGTATTGAGAAATTGTCAGATCATAAATGTGTTTATTACCTGCATAGAAATGGTACAGCACCATCTTGGACAACCACCATCTGAAAAATACTGATTAGCACCTCCTCGGGGAGACTTTCCCCCCACCGGTGGTCTGATGCCTTCTGAGGCACAAACAAGTTACTCTCCTCTCTTTCCGTGGCAACTGGCTTATTCGCCCGTTTAGTCATCGCACGGACGCTTTTCTTTTTCTTAGTCTGATTAGCTTTCACTTTTACTTTATTAAGTTTCTTCCTTTTGCCGCTCTTCTTTGGGGGGTTCCAGGCCGAACCGTCGTACTGAGAAGTGGAACTCGATATGACAAGAAGCATGTCTTCCCCTTGATGGACAGTGTAGCCCGGCCCAGCGGGCCTCGAGACTCTGGCCTTTTTATGCTTCTTGGCTTTTACGCCTGTAGGTTTGGTCCTTTTCTTTGGCTTTTTTGATCCATCTTCTCCTCGGCCTGACGCACTTGACGTGCTTGCTGTAGTGTCGTCTTTTCTTTCGCTGTGTGCCGAAGCCTCTGCTTCAGGGGACTCCATCGTGTGCTTGGAACTGGTCTTCAGCCCGGGCGTCAATCAAAGGAAACCAGACATCGGCAGAGAAGTAACTAGATTAAGAACAAAATCAGTCTCCACTGGTATATTTTCATATTTTGCAGGCAGAAAAAAGGAATTTCTATTTTACATTATATGTCATTTAGCTGACGCTTTTATCCAAAGCGACTTACAATAAGTGCATTCAAACATAAGGATACAAACTAATTTCATCTTATTATAACATGGTTCGTAATCTAGGAATCCGTGGGTAATGAATTTTATGTCATCCAAACTAATATGATCGTTTTCTGTTTCGAACCTGCGTGCGCATCCTCAATTGTTTGTAAACGGAAGCCTGAACAGTCACATCCATTCAATATTTTATGTTAGAAATAAAAAACAACATGATGATACAATATTTTCTGGGGCGTAAATACAACTCAATATAATATACACATCACACCATTAATGCCTGGCAAAACTGCGTTGTTAACTACCAGTTAAAAAATATTATCAAACAGGCTAACGTATAAATGTTAACTAAGCTAACGTTACTGGTAGCTAACAAATCGCCCTGTAAAGTTAACTTAAAGAAACGTAGCACAACTGTGTTGAAGCAGCGACGTTAACCAAAACACAATTAAAGTAATTTTATGAAGAAAAAAAATAGTATGATATTGCTTTCTGCGTTTACATTACCTGCTGCTAATTCACCGAGGAAGCTTGCAACCTATAACTCCGATCGCAGTAGTAAACCCACAATGCATTTCGTGTCCCCTCGGTGATTGGTCAAAATATTAATAATAGCCCGCCCTTTATAAATCTATCCAATCAGTAACCATCCCACTTTCCTGTTTTGACTTACCACGCTGTGTAGAGCAGTTCGAGAACGAAGATGACTCTTACGGCAGTCTAGTCTCTGGGTAAGATTTTACGCTTTCAAGTGCTACTTTTACAGGTCTTGCGTTTGAAATAATTAATACTACAGCATGCAGCACAGTGCTTCTTTGCTGGTATTATTTATGGGGTAGTGTAGATTTAAATGCTGCATGTCGTTCAGCCAAAGTTGGCACTAACACTAGCATAAACTTAGCTCACAAAAAGCTAACATTAGCATGGAGATGCATACAAGCAATGCTTGTCATTTCCAGATGTAGCCTTAATGCTCATATCCTGTAACGTGCTGAATAGTGTTAGCGTCAGTAAACCCCTATATTGTGTTGAGTTGCTGTTGTTTAGATCTACCCTTTTAATGGGAAAGAAATGCTAGTTAATGCTTGCATGACTGCAGCTAATAATGAATATCCGGGAGGCTATAAACAAGCCAGATGTACATAAAATATCCCAAATGCACAGATGCCCAGAGTACTTTTCATAAAAATGATACAATTTAGTACAACGGCTCTTCAGTGAACCCTCACCACTCTCAGTTGCATTGGTGGAGTTCTGTTGAAACTCTTTTGGAGAGGGGGCGACGGAACATGCTGCACTGCGCTGGGAAAAACACAGTCAAGCCCGCACGTTATTTTGCGGTGTTCGTATACTAGGCATTACGGTAATGGCGTATGAGCACTGCCTTCAAAATAAGAGCACTTCCGATGAAGGTGATGGGACAAGCCACATTCATTCTGTCTGTAAATCCCATGTACATGTGATAATAAATTAAAAACGAAGTAAAGTAGATACAATATATGCTGCGCAGTCTATGAATGATAACTTAATGATGATTACACTCAATAATAATTGCTCCATGCAAACTGTATTGGAGGAAAGGAAGTGTAATTTCAATTGTGTGATCCTGTGTTCAAATATATTAATAAAGAATACATTTACACGGAGCAGAGAATATCAGGACTTCTGATGTAGCGTTTCAAAATGAAAGCCTCTCAAAATCTCATTCATCAGCCAATTCACCTCACATTTTAGATTAGATTTGAAGGGAAACGGTCGAGTTTGGTCATTTCAGGTTAATAGTGCACCACCTCAAGGGGTCACTTACGGATAATAGGGACATTCTGATGTGCCATTTCAAAATTAATGCCCTTCAAAATCTCATTCATGAGCCAACTTCTGGTCAATTTCAGATTAGATTTGAAAGGAAATGGTTCATAGATACATAACAATGTCACTACAGTTTAATATAAGAGCCCTTCGAGGTGTCACTTGGGGATGATCAGGACATTCTGACCTAGCATTTCAGAAACAAAGCCTGTCCAAAATCTCATCCATTAGCCAACGTCTTTTAAAATGATATGGACTTTTTCAAAGTGAAGAGGCGTTTGTTAGTACTTCGAACGTCCTTTTGTATTCAGTCCAACACCGTACCATTCAACAGCCCCATCTATACAAATTTAAATCTTTTCAATTAATTTCGCAACAATGATGACGTTTGCAACTTATTTTCTTTTTCAGGAGAGAAGAATAGTTCCTCCAGTGCGGTGTCATGTACACTTATGCTGCAGGGAGGCCCTTTCTCCAAGGAGGCGCTTTCACATAACAACGCTAAAAGTATGAGCCTTGTTTGTGTTCAGTAGCGCACAGTGACAACACAAGCGGCGTAGGGCCGTGACGTAATTGTGCTCAACAGCGTTATTGTTTGTCTTTGGTTTCTTTATGGGTTTCCAGGACTGTAATCCATGGAAAACAGGCGCTGTTTAAAAGGGGACGGTTCACGTACAAAAAAGCAAATCGCAATTTAAGTTCTCAATTTCACACACTAAGTTTCACTCAGACAGATATTGACGGCAAATGGCAATAACAAGCAAACATTTTAGCACCTTCTTCTTTAAGTTGTTCTTCTGAATGCTGATCATTGCAACTTTTTTTTTTCCCCGTCTATCTCCTTTTAAAACAGCGCACAATGGAGGAGAGACAAGATTTCTCTCTTTGCGGTAAAGAGGCTGTGACTGTAGCTAATCTGAGTAAGTGAAATGGCCATGCAGTGACCATGCTATGTCCTAATTCTCCTTTTAGAACACTACAATACATAAATACCATTATTGTATTGTATAGCACAACCTCAATACTGCCAGAAAAATTTGCATTATCACTGATTCTATTGTAATTTACAATCAAACAATCAACACTACTTTTCTTCTCATTTTCCAACTTTGCTCCTATTCAGGAGACGAGTACTATTGGAAGCTTATTGCAGACTTCATTGGACCTCAAACGGCAGAAGGACTAGAGCTGGAAAAGGGACCATGCAAGAACCGACTTTTGATTCAAGTAGGACTTATGAGAGAGGACAATAACTTCCCATGGATTGCTATTGTACACTGGCTGGCGAAAATCTTCCCCGGTCATCAAACGGCTGACTTTCGTCGTTTGATTGAAAGAGGCATCGCAGCGACGTTGAGTCTGGGCAGTGAGGCGAGCCTGACGTTCCTGGACTCCGATGTCAACTTTAACTTCGTCGGCCCGATATGTGACAGCATAGGAGTTGAACGGCAACTTCTTATGGAAATGAGGGATTTTTCAGAGCAAGCGCAGTCAATCGAAGTCACCAATGGATTGATTCTCGAGTTGAGCAATTTTGTCACCAGAGAGAAAATCTCGCCAATTATTTTAGTCCCTTGGCTTCGAAACTTCAACCCGGAGTTCTGTGAGAGAGGAGACGTTCAAAAAGCGTTTAAAGTCCTTAAGACCAAGATTAAAAAGTTAAAAACGCTCTACCGCAATTCTGAAACGAGGAGTCACAGGAGGAACGCGGCGATGGAAAACCTGCTCCAGAGCCCGTTTGAACTGGTGCGGAAAAAGCCGGCACGGTGTCTTGTGAAGAAACGCAAAAGAGAAGAAATCCTACATTACGAAAAGGTTACAATCAAGGAGGAATACGAGAGCTGTGAAATCATGCAAGACGAAGAGTCCGAGGCGAACACCGAAGACGTGACGAAAGCATCACGGCGAGACGTTGACGCCAGGCGCGACGAGGATTCCAGCGAATCTGACCGTGGAGAAGACTCCTCCGATGAAGAACTCGAGCCGCTGACCCTGCTGGACATCGCCATGGTGTCTGTCCAGAAGCTGTCCAGCATGTACGGGGGGACGAATGAAGCGTGCAAGCAAGTTTGCTTGGATCTCCTCAAAAATCAGTACGCTCTGACGTACAAGGAGCACCCGGCCATGGCGGAGTTTGAGAAAACGCTCGCCGCGCTGGGCGGGGACGCGGCGCTCGTTTGTCCCGTGTTTTTTTTAAACCACAACGCCAATTTTCTAGTTGAAATGCACAACGCCGTGGAGCAGCAGATCATGGGCTTCGAGAAAGAGATCATCCTGTCGACGGGAGAAAAACTCGGCCGAGACAGGCTTCCGAAATTCACCAGCTTTGTGAATTTGCCCGAAAGTGCCACGTCGCGCTACGTCCACATGGCCTGCGACGTCCTGAGCCCCAGCGTCCCCGGCAAGCAGAACTACAAGAAGCACTGGGTCGCCTTCTGTGAGGAGAAGAGGAATCCCTCCAGGCTTTCAGTGAATCGGTCCAACCAACTCACCAACTACTTCAGAGCCGCGGCGGGTCTCATCCACCATCACAAAGAGATGGCGCTCTTCTTCTCCGATTTGCTGTCGATGAACAACGACGAGAACATAATTCTGGAGTGTGTGGCTGCTGACGCCAATGACTCCGTGATACAGAGCCTGGTGTGCGTCCTGGCCCTCGTTTACTGCAAAATACTCGGCCCGTACTGGCAGCTCCTGAGAAGCGGCGCCGAGTACTCGCTCTTCAGCCAGTACATGCTCTGTCTCTACCAGAGGTTTCTCGATTGGTCCAAAGACCCCTCGACACTGCTGGGACCTGAAGAGGCCACAAACGTTTTTCTGCAGTTCCCGTTGGAGGAGAAAACCTTCGAAGGAGTGTTTCTCTTCTGCAGCCAGTGGCGCACCAACAGGGAACTGATCAGGGCTTGCCTGAAGAGGACGGTGAAGGCGATCGCTGCAGTCACCGAGGAACACCTCAAGGATTTCCTGCCGGGGGGCCCGTTTTCTAACGTTCCATCCCCAGATGTGAGCGCGCAACTGGCGAGTTGCACGTTCTCCGTCTTGATGGCGGAGTATCCCTTCAACCAGACTCTCAAAAAGAAAAAACCCCGCAAGCGCCCCCCGAGCAAGCGCTCGGAAGCCTCCCCGGAAGACGACGGCAGCTCCGGTTCCTCCGGCAGCAGCTCCGATGACTCCTCCCTTTGGCCGAGGAAAAGGATTACCCGAGTTGTCCATAAGGAAGCGCTGAGTCCGCAGATGAAGAAAAATGTTAAACTGGAAAAGACACCAAAGGTACGTGAAGCGCGCGAGGAGATCATGGATAGGGACTACATCATCGCCATGGTGGGCAGAAACGGGGGGCCGTGCAAGTCGCAGCAAGATGTGGACAAAATGATGCTGCGCTTTGAAGGTAAATCCAGAGCTGCAAAACGGGAAGCGGTGCGTTGTGAGATCATGTACCAGAAGATTGTCCTGAACAACACGGACCGGAACTTGTACGAGACCTTCAGCAACGCCACTCAAATGGTGATCAAGCTGAAGCTGGCTCTTCCACGGGTCAAACCTGGGTACTCTCTCGTCCTGGCGCCCAAAAAGACGAAAACAAAGCCTGTGCGCCAACTTGCAGCCGATCGGAGTGAAAACGGCGCCACATGACATTTTAACGCAAAAAAAAAAAAAGGAAAGACAATACCCTTTCCACACAACTATCATGTGATATTATCTAGATACCTGATGCTGCTCTAATATGTGTTGAATACATTGTTTATGCCAATAATGGAAATTTATGAGATTTTTTTTATGCTGTATAATTTGGTCCTGAATGGTAAAAAAAAAAAAAAATGCTTTTTAAAGTACTCAATGTGAATTAATAACCCCTGCCTCTTAAAAGATGTTTAAACCAATGATATAATAAACATCTTTGTCCATATTTTGTTGTCAATGTATGATAAGAAAATGCTTAGCTAGTGAGATTAGTTCATGGTTTACAAAGTGACTCATGTTTCTTTTCCGGAATCTGTCATGGTTTTCACATGTAGTCACACAATAACTTGTTTTTCTCAGATTTAAAGGGTTCTTGTCTCTGCATCACATGCGTCAACGATGTCAATGAGTTCATGCTCATAGACGCGTCAGCTCAAGGATATGGGGAGGCTCTAAAGAAAGACTGGCTTATTCATTCCGTGCCAAATGCTTGGGCCTTGATTAATGTTTATTAAAGAAACTGTCAAAGAAAAAATCACTTTAACCCCACAGTCTCTACGCTTTAATATGAACTGCCATTTGATTTAAAATTGGAATTGCTTATAAAGTTGTCCTCGAGCAAAATACAATGTGAATACATTTATAGCAACTCGGTGCACTAATTATATGCAGTAACCAACTGTCAAATAAAAGTATTTTTATGTTAAAATAATCTTTTTAGTGAGTTGTATCTGAGACTCCGCCCACATGTTCTTGTCACAGTCGCCATGAAGCGTTTCTGTAACGATGGTGCCTTCATGATCCTCGGAAAATTGATTTAGTGGACCGAGCTTCATAGAGCCGCTCACAGACCATTAACAGTTAAATTTAGGCGCTGGTTTTGTGCACAAAAACCATCACACAGAAATCAATTATCCATTAAATACAAGTCGATCTACGGAGAAGAACATTTGAGCACAATTTACGTGTGTAAGCGTGAATGGTCAGACCATTTCAACTATGACATAGGAGTTTACGAGGAATTACGAAGGCACCAGAAGGGGCGGGAACTTTGCGTAAGTGTCCACCATTCCTCACGTCGGGGCATCGTGGATGGGAGGAACGTACTCAAACTTGTTATCAGCATCGTGTTGGTTATATTGTCCCGAGCAAGCGGCACGATGGCCGGTAGCTGGTGGAGCAGCGCGGCGGTGACCCACGGGCTGGTGGCTCTGTTCGCGACGGGCTCCTGGATATCCGTCAACAGCCTGTGGGTAGAGATCCCGGTGATAGTCAATGTGCTGCCCGAAGGTCAGTGGTCCGCGTCGAGACGTCGTTTATCCCCAACTGTTCAAATGTTTTGTTATGCTCTTAGTCCGTTCGTTTAATTAATTAGGGTGAAAGGTCAGTGTTTGGTTGTCGCCTCATTGGGACATTAACGTCAGCCGAAGTCCACGTTAAGCTTGTAACGCCACCAGACAACGTCATGCTAATGCTAGCTGACGTTAGCTGTAGATTTACTTTTGACTCCTGCAGGTGTGACGTTACTACTGTGGTGGTTTCTCATATCCACTACTAACCCCAAAGATAGACCGCTACGGATTTATAGAAAAGCAATAAAAAATACAAACCAGAACCATTTATTCTTCCTCCTTCCAGTGATGGAACACAAACCTGTGAATGTTACTCTATTCGGGCAGTTTGAAAGAGCACTTTTATGATCGCCTTACTTTGTGATGTTTCAGTTCATTTCATGGGGAAAAACTAAACTTACTACATTCATTTGGTAGCTTTACTGGTTACACGTTTTATTTATTATTTTTAAAAAGTTTATTATATCAAAGATCTAAAAACGTTATGGATTAATGTTTTTCCCCCCGTGTTTTAGGGTGGAAACTGCCGGCCTACATCACCTTGCTGATAGCGTTTGGGAACGTGGGCCCGATCGCCGTGACCATCACACACCACTGTGCTCCGGGACGTTTAAACGAGCGCCTGGTCATCCACTGCATCCAGGCGCTGGCGGTCGTGGCGTCCGCCCTTCTCGCCGTCTTCTGGTCACACACTGTCACAGTAGCCGGAGGCGATAGGTCACTGCCGTTCCTGCTCCTCACCTTTGTGTTGTCTTTGGTCTGCTGCACCTCCAACGTCACCTTCCTGCCCTTCATGTTCAGTTACCCCCCCCAGTATATTCGCACTTTCTTCATCGGTCAGGGCCTCAGCGCCTTGTTCCCTTGCATCGTGGCTTTAGGGCAAGGCGTTGGCAAGCTGGAGTGCAAAACCGTGAATGGCACGGTTAAGGCGGAGCGTTTGAAGGAAAACTTTCCGGCTCAAAACTTCTTCTGGTTCTTGTGCGTCATGCTGTCGATCTCGGCCGTGAGCTTCCAGGCGTTGATGCAGAGACGGACAAAGACGCAGGAAAATGCACCGCAACAGGAGGTCGCAGATCCAGCGGCGGAGGCAAAAAATGGGGAGGAAACCCACCCGCTGCACAATGGGGGGACGCCGGTGTCCGAGGATCAGGTGCAGGTGGAGGAACGGCCGCAGACCTTTTGGACACGGCGGAACGTGTACCTGCTGTCGCTGCTCGCCGTCTCCAACGCCCTTACCAACGGGGTCCTGCCGTCCGTGCAGAGTTTCTCCTGCTTGCCCTACGGACTCATGACCTATCACCTCGCCGTGGTCCTCGGCAACATTGCCAATCCTCTGGGCTGCTTCCTAGCTATGTTTGTTGTCCTGAGGTGAGAAAATATGAGCAGTTGAGGTCTATGACAGTTGTGTGTTTGTTGACTTTTTATGTAAATGATTCTTGTCCTGCAGGTCGTCTTCTGGTCTGGGCCTCTTGTCTGTAGCAGGAGGTGTATTTGCTGCATATCTCTTGGCGTTGGCTGCACTCAGCCCCTGCCCTCCACTTCTGGGAACCTCTGTCGGCATGGCCTTAGTGGTGAGTGGTTCCACGTATTCCATTAAAGCTACGTAAACCTTTAGTCTCAATACCAAGGTAATAAAATCAAAGCAGCTTCAAGGACGTATTTTAATCTATAACTTTATGATAAGAGAATATGACCATCAATACTGTTTCTTACTCTTTGACACATTTAGTCTGCATTGCAAATAAATGGTATTAAAAGGTGAAAATCTAATCAGTCAATGAGTGGAATCATAAATGAACACCGCTCTTCCTGCTGGGTGGGAGAAGTCAGATGGGTTTTGAGAAACACAGTAAGTGTTGAACACGGCTGGGACGCTTTCAATTCAATTCATTTTATTTTGTATAGCCCAAGAGCGCAAATTACAAATTTGCCTCCGAGGGCTTTACAGTCTGTACACATACAACATCCTCTGTCCCGAAACCCACCATCGGCACAGGAAAAACTCCCCAAAAAATGAGCTTTGAGCTCAGTTCCAAATCGGGTACTGGTTCTTTTGACTTACAGTACAAACTGCTGTGGCTCTTGCAAAGCACAATCTTCCTCGTGCATTTTGTCAATTCCCTGACAACATGGCACGCATGTGCTGCACAAAGGATTGTGGGTCAGAAAAGCATACCGGCTTGCATGCTGCAAGATTCACTAGACACTAATGTATTTTTTGCATTCTGCCTTTGATCATACTACGTATTGGGACACCGCTCCTTCTGTCACACTTCATAGTATGCTAGTGCAGGTATTAGAACACACAATTGTAATCCGTCGTATCAGATCCATAAATCCTGTTCACCACTGATTTCAGCAACCTGCTTGTGCCCCCTACAGGTCATCTCGGGAATTGCTTTCACCGGACTCTACTCCTATCTGAAGGTGGTGATTGGGACTCTGCTGCACGAGGCGGGTCACGCCGCCCTGCTGTGGTGCGGCATCTCTATCCAGGCCGGCTCGCTAATCGGGGCCCTCACCATGTTCCCCTTGGTCAACGTCTATTCTGTGTTCCAGAGTTCTCACGATTGTGTGAATAACTGCACCAGCGGGAGTTAGACATGTAATGTTATTCTGGATTATGTTTTAACTTTTTTTTTATATTGACACGGTTCCTATTCAGTCAAAATGGGAAGAGACTTCAACCCAGTTTTTGGGTCGCCGCAGTGAAGAAGCAGGTCTGTTCTGCCCTCATTCAGAGCCCTGTGGAAACATTCCTGGATAATGGAAGCATTGTTTGGCTGCACATTGGCCGAGGGGATGTAAAATGCATATGACGTAGTAATACCACAAGTGCTTTGTGCGGTATTTTGGAAAAAAAGACCACAAGAACATATAAACTCAGGGACTCGATCATTGTTGCTCATTTGAATTAATAATTACTCGCAGTATAAGTTGCAAACTCATGACCGGCCTTTCACAGTAACTGATTTATATTAACGACAAATTCTGTCTTAGAAATAAATGCGATTTAATGAAATTAAAGTATGTTATTTTAAGTCAACTTAATGTCAAAGCATAACAATAGTACACCTTTTTTTTTTTTTTTTTTAAGTGAAATTTAGACGACAAATATAAAGTGGATCTACACAAAGGTACAATGTCTGCAAAGCCGACGTTTTGTAACGGGAGGGAAAACCTGCTTATGAGTGATACAGATTTCCTAGAGTGAGTTTTTGTTGTCTACGTCTTTACCTCGATTCAACTTAAAGCATATTACACTATTTTTTTCGTTTTACAGTCAAGTATACAATTCAGTCAGCAAATATCAAAAGGGTAAAATTGCTACTTAAACCATACAGTTCATCGATGAAGTGACCCAAATTATTTCTGTGCTTGAAAAATGTTGAACTTTACAAAACATGACGCTTCAGTTTACTTCAGAATTGTACATACTTTGAAAAAGTAGTTTATTTTCTAGTCATTTTGCATTTATATTTATTCCAAATACAGTAATGTTATTTCATCTGGAAGCACAGCCGACCTGGCACGGTAATGGTTAACAGTTTTGGAATCCAAAGGGATCGTGCCATCTCAGTCTTTGAAATAATAAAGTATATCTCATGTACTTGTACCTTATACGGTTGCCTGCGTTCAATGTCTACTGGCCATTTTGTGTGGAGTTCATTTTTTTTTATTGACTGTCATATTGCTGAAGTGTATTATGAAGTCTCTGAAACGACTGGTACACAATAAAGCTGCTGATCGGAAGGATGTTGGACAATTATGTGTTGATTCATTTGGAGAATGAAGAACAAAAATGTATATATTCAACAAACGTGAGACTAAACCCAGTTGAGTTTCACGATGTGTACTTAACAGACTTGTTTCTTGGTAAGGTGGACCCTGTCCTCGCGTTTTGTGTCTTTATGCTATGCTAAGCTGACCGGCTGTTGCATTATTTTATTATTTTTTTATAATAATGATATTTCCCAATAACCGTTGGCAATAAAAGCAAAATTTCCTACAATGTAGAGCTTTCCTTTTCCCAACGTTGGACGAATGAGGCCTCACATGATGAACACAGTAAAACAAACATACGCTTATATTATTTTGTGCATTTTTTTGTAAACAACTTGCCCCCACTAATGGAATGATCTGTGTGAACACCCATTTTAACCTTTTGCTCCCATGATCCCCTTAAGCAGAATTAACAAATTCTTGAATGCGTCTCACTCATAAAAAAATGGCCCAAAGCAATGCAAGCACCCCCCCCCCCTCCTCCTGCAAAACAACTGCATGATGTGGTTATAAAACACCAGCATGTGATGTTTACTGATGTTCCTCAAAGTCCGACAGTGAAGCGTTTGGCGGGTCGGTCAGTGAGTGAGTATTCATACATGTGTCAGAGTAGGCCACATGTTTTCACACTCACTCGCTCCTGTGGAAGGTTTAAAACACACACACACACACACACACACACACACACACAGACACACACACAGACACACACACACACAAACACACACACACACACACACACACACAGAATTTAGAGCAAAGGACTTTGGGCTTCCTTCTCTCTGCAGAAAACTCCAAACTGTCCACGGAGCAGCATGTGAGTATCTGCCTTTCATCCATTCGATTGGTGTAAAAACGTGCAACAGGGAAACTATTTTTCTAAAATATCAATGGGAAGCTGAAGTTGTTATAAAAAGTCTGATTTGATGCTAAAATAATATTCAAAATTGTCTCTATGCTGAATACGAGAGATCCCGACTGTGCTTCGATAATTCCATTGATTGTTTTGTTAAACACTCCTTTCACTGATCAAAGACTGTTTTTCCAATAAAAAAATGTTTTCTCAGGTTATGTAAGAGTTCGCGGAGCAGCGGGGGTCATGTTTTACTTTGCCGTGTGCTTGGTTTTTTAAGCGGTTTGAGCCGCCCGTCCTGCCAGCGATCAGCAGGCAACAACCAGACGTTGATCAAATCACATATTTGTGATCCACAAATTTGTGATACACCTGACGAAAACTAACACGCTCATTTCCCAGCTGGAAGCACAAGAAAAGCAGGGCAACAGTAAACATTAACCAAACGTAGGAAAAGACTCACGTACTTTAACAATGCTGGCAGAGGGATGCTTCCTCTGTAACACATTAATCTGTGATGTTCACTCTTCATTTATCTTTGTTTTCGCTCAGAAACAAACAGACTTTCATTGATAATTGTCACATTGCATTGCATCAAGTATAAGCATCCAGACCCCAATTCACCCTGTCCAGAATTTCCAGAAAATAACATGGATCTGCAGACATTCAGGTGAATGTGTGGTTACAGTTTTGTCAATTTAACGTCCACAAATTAGGACATTGAGCTCCATTGAGCTGGATTAACAGTCTAGACCGCAACACATTTCACTGAAAAACCATTTGTACGGATAGATAACTATTACTATTACTTGTGTTCTGGGATGAACTGTCCCCCCACAGCTACTAAACACTTAAACTCTACAATATATCGAATAACCAATTAGTTCTCAACCATTGAAAAAAAAAATCCCTGATTGATTAAGCAAATAGTAAAGGTCGGAATAATCGATAATAATAGTTGTTAGTGATAACCCTACTCTACAGCACACGCGTGTGTCATGCACACGCAATGACATGATGATAATTAGCAGGTAAAATATTTTTCAAAATCGCCTTCTTAATTTGCTGATATTCAAATTATTGGACAACTTGTGATTTTCACATTGGTTTTAAAATGAAATTATAACCCGATTATGTTGGTAAATAAAAGTAAAATGTTGCCCCTTTTGTCCAATCAGTGTTATTGATTTCGACCAATGTACCAGCATGCACTGGTACATGTAGGCCACACTTCTGCTTAATCTGCCAATGGAGCACACTGGGGAATTTTCTGCTTCAATTTACTATACAAGCTGATTGAACGTTTAAAGACGACAAACGTTCCCTGCAAGTGATCACCAGAGGCAATAGGATGTATCATCTGGGGAGCAGGACGACACATGAGTTCATGGCAATCAACACAGCGGTTGAGTTGATTTGATCACGTTGGGATGGAACCATCCCTGAATAATAGATGTCCATCTGTTTCCTAGCACCAGGAACACACCTCCACCATGTCCCTCCTCACCCACCTGTTGGCCTGTCTCTTCGGGATGGGCTCCTGGGTCTCCATCAACGGCCTGTGGGTGGAGCTGCCCCTCGTCGTCCCCCAGATCCCCGAGGCCTGGTTCCTGCCCTCGTACCTCTCCGTCCTCATCCAGATGGCCAACGTCGGGCCCCTCTTCGTCACCCTGATGCACCGCTTCCGGCCCGGCGCCCTGAACGAAGCGGCCGTCATATACGCGATCGTCGGCCTGGGCACCGCCGCCAGCTTCCTGCTGGCGTTCTTCTGGAGGGAGACCGCGGTGGTGGCGGGCGCGCCGCGCAGCGTGGCCCTGCTGGTCCTGACTTTCTTCCTGGCCACCGTCGACTGCACGTCCTCCGTCACCTTCCTCCCCTTCATGATGCGCCTCAAGCCTCAGTACCTGACCACGTACTACATCGGCGAGGGCTTGAGCGGCCTGCTGCCCGCCCTGGTGGCTCTGGTCCAGGGAGCCGGAGTGGTCCACTGCGTCAACAGCACCGGCTCTTTGAACCACACCCGTAACTCCTCCGAGAGCTCCGCGACCTTTGACCTGCGGGCCGAGTATCAGCCGGCCAACTTCTCCGTCGAAGTGTTTTTCTTCTTCCTGAGCGCCATGATGCTGGTGTGCCTGGTGGCCTTTCTGTTGCTGAACTACCACCCGTCCGTGGCCCGGCAGCGGCCCAGCGGTCGCTCCGCCAACGGGGTGAAGCAGAAGTGCGCGAGGGAGAGGAAACGGGCGGAGCAGAAGCCCATGATGGATCCGTACAGACCTGCGAGCCGGAGGCCCAGGAGCAGCTTCGGAACCGGCTCGTACAGCTGGACACAGGTGTTCTACATCTTTGTGGTCCTGGCCTGGACCAACGCTCTGACCAACGTGGTGCTTCCCTCGGTGCAGTCCTACTCGTGCCTGCCGTACGGGAACAGCGCCTATCACTTATCAGCCACCATGGCTGCTGTGGCGAACCCTCTCGCCTGCTTCATCGCCATGTTCTTCCCCATAAGGTCAGTGTGTGGTTTAACAGCTTTAAAATCACTAATTCGCCTTGAATAACTTTTAAAGATGATTCACCACAATCTGCGCAACCTGCGTGACCCCTCCGTCATGGAAGTTGTAGTTTGAATCAATGACATTTGCTTGAAATTGTCACAATTGGAAGCAACATCTGGTTCAGTTTCCTAAAACTGGCATTTCTCCTCTGGATACAAAAGTCAGATTATATAGTGGTCGTAAATGACCTTGATTTATTCCCTCAGTAAACATTGTTAGTATGAGTTTATGGTCCCAAGCTTCATATCTTCTTCAATACAGCATGATGTTCATTTAGTAAATAAAAGTTAATTTTGAGTCAAATAAAGGTGAGTATTCTTTAGGGCGGACTTACTATTATACGAAATATGGAAACTTCCATTGAAAGGTTGCAAAAATGCCAAGATGGCGACGACCGAACGCTGATCTCAATGCTTCTTTGCGACAGGCCTCAAAATCAACGTCATGATGATAAAAGCTACTTTTGAGAATCAAATTGATTCATCTTTGAGTCCAGTTCAACATCCGTATTAAATTTGAAGAAACTCCTAAAGGTTTTCCTGAGATATTGAGTCCACAACAATTGGAACGCACATGGACGGAAAACACAGAATGAACAAAATAAAATATATTAACTTTGGCTTTAAAACATTTATGTTTCTAAATTGTTACTTTTCTTAGGCGTTTTTTCTTCTGGGTTGAAGTGTATAATTCACAGGTTATAATTCATTTTAATGTATTTTATTTAAATATACACAAGAAAAATGTTCACAGTTGATTTCTATTGGAAACCACATTGCATCCGCTCCTGTTTGGAGAACAAATCCAATCCAATATATGTGAATACATTGTGTATATCATGGTGTCAATCTCAACAACTAATTCATTTATTAGAATGAAAATGTGCTCATCAAAATTAAATTGCACTATTCCCTGAGCAGACAGCTGCAACGCCTTTAAATGTTTTACGGAGTTTCAGGGGACACATCTAAATCACTTGTTTGTGCGACCCTTAAAGACATTCGATTATATATTATAAATAACAGTTAACTAATCTACTAATTCTTTCTGTTCTTGAGAATCTCGGCAGTGACTTTGAACCTCCGGGGGACGGAGTAGGACAGGTAACCGCCTCACGGTGTGCGTGTCCCCCGCAGGTCCCTGGTGCTGATGGGGGCCCTCACGCTGCTGGGCAGCGCGGCGGGCGCCTACATAATGAGCATGGCCGCGCTGAGTCCCTGTCCGCTGCTCGTGCATCAGACCTCCGGCGCCGCCGTCATCGTGAGTGGGACCCTCTTCTGCTTCGTTCAGCCTCCAAATAACCTGTATTTATAGGTGTGAGCCTCACGTGCGTGTCCCTCGTCCCCCCCCCCCCCCCCACCACACCACCAGGTGCTGGCATGGGTGCTGTTTGTTCTCGCTCTGTCCTACGTGAAGGTGATCATCGGGCTGATCCTGCGCGACGAGGGCCACGGCGCCCTCGTGTGGTGCGGCGCGGTGGTGCAGCTGGGCTCCCTGCTGGGAGCCGTGACCATGTTCCCCGTGGTCAGCGTGTACAGCTTCTTCTCCTCCGGGGACCCGTGCAACACCAGATGTCAATGAGGACTCGACACGCGCCGTTCGACTCCGAGACGGAGACGGTTGAATGATAAGCTCTTTCCACCATGATTTGTTTTTGTTTTCCTTTACTCTGAGCGTGCCATTTGTTGACAGCAGATCTATTTAGATCTATAAGGAGTGGTGCTTCAGACAGGATGAACACTCTTCATGCTGGTATTTGCACATTGTGAAAATACACCACTCACATTCAAAAAATGTTTTACCTTCACATTTTATAAAAAACAGCCCACAAGATACAAATATTCAGTCAAATCGGCAGTCCTCTCAATTTGCATAATATTTTCAGATGAAATTTCCATTCTCCATTATTCATTCTCTGATTTTCATTTTGACATTAGACCTCATCATTCTCTATTCAAAATACGATTGTTCTGGCTGAATGTCCATTTTGCATTTTAACAGATTGAACTGAATGATGGTGAAGACAGACTTTGCATACAGGTCAATGTAGCTTCTGTCACAGTTAAAGATGGATATGTTGTTAGGCGTTGCCCCATTTGTTATTCATACTAGCAGAAGATGATTAAAAGAAAAGTCACCCGGCTTTCTTTTCTCAATATAAAAGTGCAAATCTATTGCCTCCACAGGGTTGTCAACATGGCAACGGCTAGCAGCTAAAGATGCAGACAACAGCAACGATGCTGCTGAGGGGGCGTAGAGGGGGGGGGGCTTCCCTGCTGCTGCTATAAGCTCTAACGCCCTCATGATGGTGATGCAAGGAAATATTTCTTCATATATGTCTGAGAAAAATATTGAGAAGAATGTTACCCGACACTATAAAATCGTTAAACAGGACGTTTATTAATGATAGTTGCAAGCAGGTGACAGAATGACACACGCACACAAATCAAAGGTCTTCCTCCCAGTGTCCGAATGATGTACAGTGGAGATAACACACACTGAAACAGGGAGGTCTGGACAAGATCTTCAAACAGCAGAGAGTTAATCATGTGTGAGTGAGGGTCACTTTGTTTTGCACTAAGAACATAAAACCTAGAGATTAGTTGGACACTGAAAACAAATCCTCTCGACTCTCAGTTCACACACAACACGATATATCTCTGAGAGCGAGCAGCGTCGACTAAAGAAAACATTGATCAGGTTTTTCCAACAATATTCATCCTTTCTATACTCCTTTATTGTCCTTTATTAAAACATATTGTGCTGCACTTCTTGTATTAAAGGCTTGAATACAATTCATTTTTAATAATATAGTTATTGTTGTCATTATTATTAGCATTATTATATGATTATTATACTATTGTTACTTGTACTAATTATTATTCTAATCGTTCATGTTGTTGCTGTCACGGTCATTAGCTTTAGTACTGTCATATAATTATAATGATTTATCTATATTGATAATTGTTCATTACATACTCACATAGGAACTACAGCACAAGTCAAAGGTCTGGACACACTTTCTCATTGAATTAAATGATCTTTTGCTTTGCTAATCTAAGAACGCTTCACATTGCATAGAGACTTCAAGTAGATCAACAGCTTCAAATGGGTGGAGAGGTAAAGCACAGAATGCACAAAACTGGCAATACACAGCAAGAGTAAACACGCCGCGGTGATCGCACATTCTAATGTGCTAGGAACCCAAGCCCTCAAGCCTTGCAGCGCATTAACCGGAAGGTAGCAGGATATGGCGACCGCTGAGGTGGCACAGACGACCCTGAAGGCTCTCCTCTTCACAGGGTGCAGCTTGTCTCTCCCCGGGCTGGACGTCTTCAGCGCCCTCGCGATCCTGGAGCTGCACGCCACCATCACTGCTCCCATGACCAACATCAGAGATGCGGGCAGAATTGCAAGCGCCCCACTCAAGTGGGCCTGGGAGAAAACGTCCGGAGCAAAGACAACGACCAGAGCAGAAGGCAACGCAAAGAGCCACACCGTCAGAGCACAGAGCTCCCGGATTCTGTACTTCTTCAGCAGGGGGTAAGATGTGGGGTGGATCACCGCGACGTATCTCTCCATGCAGATAAAAGACAGACTCATTGGCCCCCCGATTTGCACGTACACCAAGAGAAAGTTGGCGATTTGTTGGTGGTTTTGCGCCGCCGATAACATGTAGATGAGATGCAGCAAAGTGATGAAGTACTGCGAGTCGTTGAAGAGTGCTAAATTGAAATTTAGGATATCCAGGGTCTTCTTGGATGTGACGCTGATCCACAGCAGTTTGGCGTTCACTGGATGTCCAATGAGGAGGCTGAGGATGTCGATCAGGGAGAAAAACACAACCTGCGTACATTCCGCTTCTTCCACGGAGTGATTGCCGGAAAAGTTCAACATCGCAACAGATTTCTGTTCAGTGCAGAAAGAAACAAGGCGTCAGAGAGACTGATGGGCATCTAACAGTGTTACATCTGAATATGAAAGCAAAGATAAATACTATGCTGTAAAACGGACAAACATCCACCAACAGCACATTTGTTTTGAGAAAAGGAAAATCAAAAAGCACTGTACTTGCAAAACTGTTAGTTTGGTTTAAGAAAGTAAAGACACTCAATAATGGACATATCTATATATCACTATAAGGATGTATAATAATATATATTAAACATGTAAGCATTTGAACTGTCCATTACACCAACTATCATCCAGTTGCACATCATTTATTATTCCATACCTGCAGAGTCGGAGCTTACCGAGTGCGTTCTGTCGGGATCGGACCCGACGGTGACTAGCGGCTCAATTGACTGTTTAAGAAAATATAAGGGCCTGATTTTCCTAATAGATGTGGGCAGGTGCGAGGCAGCCAAACAAAGCCAACAAAAGTCACGCCCTGATTTCCATAAGCGTTACGGTGTGGTTGTGTTCGGCTGTGAGGTGAGCAAAACAAAACAAACACACGGCAATGATAAATGAAGTGTTGGTCGGCAGCGAGGGTTCGTTCCACGCGTTGCAGAGCCTGCAGACCACACGGGGTCAGTGTGGCCCCTAACAGACACACACTGCAGACGCGCTAATATCACAGGATTAACCCTTGAACGCGCACATCAGGCAGACGTTACTCCACTGTGTCATAGACGATAGTTGTTTGAAGCTTTGCTCGGAATTAGGAATTGTGCACCTTCTAAGCTGTAATAGAAGCTCTGACTTTCATGCAGAAAATACATTATTTTTGTGTGAAAGTTCTTTAGTTTTATGCATTTTTAAGTATTTATCTTAAAGCAATTCTTATCTTTTTCATGGCCTGCAGCCGTCTTTGTCTCGTGTCCATTGTTTCACAAACTGTTCAACAGCAGCTTTGAATTCTGAGTTCAAAAGTGCTGTCGATTTAAAGGAGCAAAACGCGTTGCGCTGTACACACACACAGATTTGCTTAAAATCCTTATGCGCAGTAGAGAAACTCGCTTTGAATGTGATCCGTGGCATTCAAAACCATCGGTGAGGCCCTGGAACCTAAAATCCCGCCCAGCGCAGCTGAAACTACACGTGAGGACGCATACACATCCGACCTAAAGCCATGATCTCACTCTCACACACACACACACACACACACACACACACACACACACACACACACACACACACACACACACACACACACACACACAGTATATTTATTAATCCGACGGCAGGTAAACAGATCACTCACAGGAACGAGATGAAGACTTTTATTGACAATTACACAAAAATAGAATTATGCAGAATTATGAGTTGTTCCACAACAAAAACAACCTCCGCGGTAAACATTCCAGTATGGCTTCAGTTACAAGGATTAAGACTCATAAATACGTATAAAACCTGGGAGCGAACGTCGGTAAGCCCCATTTAGGTTTACTTACAAGAGAGCAAACGAGTAGATACACCACAGTACGTAAGGAACCATGTAAAAGAGGCTGTATGATGAACGTGGATAAACAGAGCACATGCTAAGAGAATAAATATGAAAATACAAAAAACACACATTAAAGAATTTATATATATTTGTATTGCTGTTTGGGTTAGAGGCCTCGGGTCTCGTCCTCGACAGACTCCCGGCATGTTGCACAGCTTCCAGGTCGGATTCCTTCTTCAATAAAAGTCAAACCAATATCACTGTAGCAAAAAGTTTACTGCATTGTACTGTTATTTTACAGTCAGTATGCATAAATGACTAAATGACTCAGACTTCTGTCACTACACACTTGTTTTTTTTTTCAACTGAAGCCATAAGCGGCAAAAAAGAAAATGAAATGCAGGGGATTTATATTTAAAGTTGGTTCTCAACTTTCCTCTCCTGTGATTCTGCATCTTTATTTATTCATCCGTAAAAAAGAAATTTGCTGAGGTCATTTTTGCTGTCGGGGTTATTTTCTTCTTCCGCGGGATCATCGTCCTGACGTCCGGCTCCTGTTTTAGAAATACCCAAATAAGACACGAGGACAAATAGCACCACTGCCCTGTGATCTAAATCGCCTGAAACTTCCTCTTTTCCTCCACAGGAGTTTTAATTTACATACATTGTGTAATTGCACACAACGGTTGGTTTAACACGTCCTTTAAATAGGACTAAACACAAGGTACAAATGCAAAGTGTGTTTGTGCAACACACTTTGCATTTGTACCTTTAGTCCTATTTTATCCACGACCCTCCGAGGCTGAGATGAGTATTACAACAGAAAAAGCATTATCTCATTTGCAACTCTATATGGAATAAACTACTAGATACCACAAGTTTACTGATTAAGTGCTTATTATTGGTTGCAAATACCAAAGATATTAAATTCTAATATTAACAACGGCCTCTGAAAAAATAACAACGTCCGTTTACAAAAGGAAAGGTTGAACTCATGAGGAATGAAACCCCTTTGATCACTTGGATCTCAGGGTTTCGTTGCTACAGCCTCACTCTCAAAAGCATTTTGGAGTTAATTACAAATTTCCAATTGTGATGAAATCTTTCTGCCGTTTCCAGTCAAAAAGGCACTTTTTTTTTCTTTGTAAAGCCAGATATGGAAAATAAAGCACAACAGATGCTGTATATACAAATTACATAACTCAAAGGCACTGAATCATTTACAAACTGCACCAAAAGAAGAAATATAGAAACATGTTTTGGTCCTCTACAAGCAGACTTTGAGGCTGGGGGCGGCAGGTAAGTCAGTCATGTGATTCATTCTTTGGATCATTTTTTCATAAAGGCATTATTTATGTAAGAACAAGGCACGCGTTGGACCCGTGTCATGTGGACAACACATTTACATTTGCTCCCTTTGCATTTCCTTTTTCGCTGCTTCCTGCTGTAGTCCGAGCATGACAAGCACGACGTCAAATCTTTCGTTTGGTGTTTCCTTTTTTTGTTCGGGAGTTTCCCGTTTCAGTTTTGTCACGGATGGGAAACTACGCGTGGCTGTGGACGGAGATGCTCGACAGGTCGTTCCGGATGATTTCATTGACTGCAAAGGGAGAGAGAGAGAAAAAGACAATCAGAAGTCGTCGTGCCGAGTGTGTACATGTACAGTATAACGTTGCATGAAATATCTTTAAAGCTTTTTAAAAGCATACTTTCTAAACTAGCTGCTTGCTACTTGTGATTGCATCTATTATTTGCAGGGGCTTTCAAAAAGAACCCCATACAGTGGATTTGGCTAAAACATCAGCTAAAAGTTGCTAGTTTAGACATTCGTCAGAGCAGTTAGCAACATTAGCACTGAATATTCACCTTTTAGTTCAACATTTTGACTGAGATAGTTACTAAATGTTCCACCCTGATATCCGGCTGGTTGGTGACTCTGTTGCTGAGCAGGTAAGCTGCTGAAAACAGCTGTGTGCTACAAATAAAAGACACGGATGAGAGCGGTGACAAAAACATGGAAGCTATATATATCTATATCTATATATATATATAGATATATAATCCTTTTTATAGAGGTTTTTCCTCCGAGCCGTCTTAATAGAATCACTTTATATCTGAGATCCCCAGAGCTTTTATTTAAAGAGATGATGCAACCTCCTGCTGTCTCTAAAGGATCCAGGTGCACTTATCTCTTCTTATCAGCGGTGTTCTTTGGCTGAAGGGGGAGAGAGGCGGGGGGAGGCGGGTGGAGGCGGGGGGAGCGGTGGGCGCCAAGAGCAAACGATCAGCTAAAGCAGCGAAGATGCTGAAGCAGAATCTGTGACCTCATTTATCTCCACAGATCCTCAATCTCTAATCAGTTCCTCACTTTTCTAATCAGGATGAGTCGTCCTTCCCTCAGATCTCACACGGGTAAGAAAGGCGAGCGAGCGGCGTGTCAGGAAGAGCCCAGGCTGAATGAGGCCTCGGGGGAAGCCGAGCCAGCGGGGTCGGGGGAGGAATTCCCTGCATGGAAACCTGAGGTTCCTCTCGCACAACGACCACTTCCTCCCAGAAACGCGCTCGCCTCCCATCGCCACAACACACTGATGTACGCCCCTCACAAGAAACGGAGGAGGAGGCGGCTCGGGAGGGAAAAAATGAAATAAGTGTGGGTGCAAAACCACGTAGCACCTTAGTGTGGCACTCGTCTAGACACCAAGGCCTTGTGTTGGGCGCTGGCGATCGCCTGCTATGAACACAGCAGCGGACCCCTCGAGGGGTCTGATGAGTGCAGCGCGGCGGCGATCTCACACGGGCGTGTCACAGAATCATTGAACCTATTATGAGGCTACGAAAAGCGGGTGAGATTCACAGCAGCGTGTTTTGGTGGAGAGGCATTTTATGCAGGTGCTCTAATTCACTTTGCTAGATTTAGCAGAGGGGAAAAAACATCTAAATAAAACTCATCATTCATGTTCAAAAGTGTGAATTAATGAAATCTGTGGTTGTGGGTTTTAGAGCAAATAACATTAATGACGTCCGGCTTTGCGCCGTTTATCGGAAAGTATCGTGAGAAATGAGGAACCAGGGGACTAAAATTCTAAATATTTCAGCATCTTCTGCCGTTATTTAGGCCATTTTTTGGGTTGAATCGCTCTCTTGGGATTCGCTGAACTTTACGGAGTTCTTTTGTGCAGTCACACTATTCAAACAGTCAAAAACTTTTATTAAAACAATAAAATTAAATTGTATAAAACATTCATTTTTGTTTGACCGAATATCAAAATCAACATATTTGCATTTGTGTTCATATGCATTAAACTATCAAAGCATGCAGAGCCATTGGTGCTGAACATTAAGCATGAATGAATAAACAACACGGAATTGAGCCTAAACTCTGCAGCTCCCTCGGGGGGGATCAGCAGCAACTGGGTCACGGTGAGGGCCGGATCACAATGGAGTGCATTGCGACGCGGGACGCTTTTCTAACACGGCTCATGATCAGGACAGCGTGCTGCCGTTACATCACCAAAAAGATACACGTGAACCAGAAGAAATAAACACTCTGACCTCATCTCCACCCTCCTACAGCGCGCCGCTCCGCTGCCACGCGCGCCGTTCCCGGCCCAGACTGAACTGACTGACCTCCTCTCCTCTATTTGATCTGGCTTTGACCTCCTGCGCATCTGGAGGTGGAAGGACACGATCGTTGAGTTCAAGAACCCTCAGGGGGACGTTATTACAAAATGGCGTCGAGCCCGGCTGTAAATTCAGGCCCGTCGTCACGTCATGTTGCCGTCGGCGCTCTCGGGTTACTGTCACGCCGCGTGTGGTGCGCCGGCTTTCACATGACAATGGAAAAGGTAAAAAAAAGACAGAATTCAGTAGTTTATTGTGGTGTAAAACAAAGGACGACCAGGGGAGAAAACACTCCCCCATCAGCTGTTTACGCGTCCGTTGCCATGGCCCACTTTTCATTGTGCCGGCACATTTGACGTGTGGGATCTAATTGGAAAAAAAGGCAATGTATTGATCTCTAAGTGTGTTAGAGTGCTAAAAATAGGCGCTGCACCAGAGTGACATCTGTGTCATGTGTTCTCTGCTCGAGAGGCAGTCGAGCGACAGAAACGCTTCAAACAGAGTAAGCCCTGGTTTATATTGTTTTACAGAATAGGATTCAAAGGAAGAAGATGGTAGGAATGAGTCCATCTCACTTTAATGTCCTTTCAACAACCTTTCACGAGGTCGCCGTCATGTCACATGCGGACAACTTTCACATTTTCTTCAACGACGAAGATCATGTCACATGACTGAAAGCTCTGGAATACTTGCTATAAAGTAGTAAAACTATGAATAATCAAAAGACTGTCATTGCATTACTTCGGTTTTATAAAACTCTTTCTACTTTAATCAGTTGTGCGATGAGGTCTTTGATAATCCGACTGCTCGTAAATCAGCGCACGATTTGTCCCGATGGTCGTGGTTCGATGTGACGTAATCCAGGAAATGGTTTCCTGTCCCGTGGACAACAGCTGGACCCGGCCGATGCAGCCCGGCTCCTTTAACCAGGAGAGCCTCCGAAAAAACGAGGAACTCCCAAACAATTGGTTTGCCTCATTAAGGGCTGGAGCGCGTCAGCCGACACTAACAACACAATACTGCAGGAGCAACCGGGTCCGGCAGAATCACTCTGTGAATAAAGCAGCCGAGCTGAGACAATGAGAGAATAATAGTCCCCCCCCCCCCCCCCCCTCTTTACTGCCACGTCAAGTCCAGGCCACAAGCCACGAGATGTTCTTGGCCCACATGACGAGGCTCCTACTGGGTTACTGAAAGTCAGTCCCACAGAGCGGTCTTGAAGTTCACCACGGCGCACCGCAGTGCCAGACAGTTTTTTTTGTTTGTTTTTGAACCCAGGTATTACTACAAAAAAAAGAAAATGTCTGCAGACAACAGCTCTTTGTCAACTCTACAGGCTTTAAGCTAATGGAGTAATAGAAAGTAATGTAATGTAATGTAGTAATAGGAAGTAATGTAATGTAATGTAGTAATAGAAAGTAATGTAATGGAGTAATAGAAAGGGAGCAGACTGCGTAGAAAAATGACAACTCAACAGCTAGAGCAAATTAGCTCCAGCTAGGAGCCACATTCGTGTACAGTGCATATTTTGCGTTGTGTTTATCTGTGTTGTCACTGTGAGACAAAGATTTAAAATTCAGCTCATTGATGAGGGTTTCTGTGGTTTGTGATACTCTGCAGAATGATTCTAATATGTATTTCCCTCCCGATGTGAAAACTACGTGGACAAAATATAGCAAACAACTTTCTGTTACTTACAATTCAAACATATCACAAAATAAAACACTGTCTCTTTAAGACCTCCTGCTGAGAAAGGTAGTGTGTCGTGTGCTCTACATAAGAAAAGGCTGATAAATAAACCAAACTGTTGGAATGATGAAGCTTGTAAATCAGACAAACTACTGCTGACTAAAGCTTCTTTTTGCCACTTGCGGCGGCAAATGATTTAAGGAACCAAGGGAGTTTTACTGTATTCTCCCAAATACTTTTCCTATGATCCCCCCACAGTCCGCTCATCAATTGTACCGTTCTAACCTCTACAATTCTAACATCTAACAAGGCCACAACACGGCATGAAAAAAGCTTTTCCGTAATGCTGTTTGGCTCAAATCTGGGCTGAAAATGCACACGTCCCTCCTGTGTTGCCTCACTGCTGACAAGGAGTCAGCTGCACGCCACCGCGCAGCAGAGCGAAGGGCCTTGGACACGTCTCCCAGACCGGCCTGCGAGCCAAAGGGAAGCATGTGAGCCTCTGCAGTCAGCACGCTTCATGGCAGCGTGGCCGGCCTCCATCTCCCTCGGCGGCGGCGGCGGCGGACCGCGCACCCTGCGGCCTGGAGGCCTCCGGCTTGAAGCCAGACGGCACCATTAAAACTTTCCGTGGACAGACGCGTTAGTAGCCAGGAGGAGGGGGAGCAATGAATACGAGAGCGCCGCACAAAAAAAACGGAAACAATATCGGCTCTGATTACAGACGACGTGTGTCGCTTTCATTTTAAAGTGAAGTCTACTGCTACTAATTACTAATTAACTAATTAAATAGCATCGCGTTAGATAAATAAATGGCAATGATGGATCCTGGTTTCTGGTAGTAACGCGCAGATAAATCGCAGCCCATAAACACAAACATGACCCGATTTTTATTTGTAAGCAACGCTCCACCTGAGCTTTAAAGAGTCGCATGAAACGCTGCCAAAGGTTTTAACGAAGTGAGAAGCCACATTGCGTTGGGATTGCTTCGTATACTTTCCGTGAATTTGACCAAAAAAAACAAGTGCAATCGACGGGGGCCCCGGCTCCGCGGAAAACGCCATTACGGAGGTGACGGGTGGCTCAGACTTTAACTACGCCACGTTCGAGCCGCATGAACCCCCCCGAGAGACGCGAGCACCGGCTTTGAGCGGAACCAAATATCCCTACAGATGGGGGCAACTAGTGTTAATGCATTTACCCAGACTGCTGCATGGGAGCGGCCCAACAACAGCGGCTCGCTCGCCATGGCGATGGAGCACGATTCAGCGGTGGGGGCATTTGGGGAAGGGGGCTGCTGGTTACTGACGCTTCATGCGCTTCCTTCACGGGACCTACACGCAGCCGGGGACGGTTTGCTTCTCGCCCCGGGGAAGATGGTTTATAACAATTTCTTTCTAATCACCATGCAGCACGCGGCCCGCCAAGCCTCAGCGGCGAGCGCGCAGGGCCTGAGCGGTGAGATCATGAAGTTTGGGCTCCTGAAAAGCTGCTCTCTGTGAGATAAATAAAAAAAGGGGGGGGGGGTCACCCAACGGCATTCATTATATCAGCGAGATTTCGGCAGCGTCGTCTCATTCAGGGTTCACAACATATCAAACGTCAGACCGCCGGGCTTCTTTGATCCAATTTCCTCAGAAAAGAGACGACTTTGAGAAAGTTCACAGCGGCGAAAAAGCCGCGGAAGGGAGAGAAATCGCCACGAGCTGGACTTGTGACAGCCGGCGGCCACACGAAGCTTCCTGCGGTGATATCAGGGTTTCACCATCACCGAGAAAAGAAAAGGAGCTCTGCAGCCTACGTGCTGGCTTGGCTTTGGACTTTCATCAGTTTGTGCAGCGCGCGCGTTCATTCATTCTTCAGAGGCGCTGGTTGGACGGTTCTGTAATATCGACCTCACTCACCATCATCCAGGTACATCTGGTCCAGCTCCTGCGGTTCCTGTTTGATGCTGACAGCCAGCGCCGGCGGGCTGCCGTCCTCCTGGAGGGAACCCCGCCCCCTCGGCGCCACCTTGGGGGGGTGCTGGGCTCCGGGGCTGGCGTCGCCGCTGCCCGTCTGAACCGGCGTCACGCACACGGCCGGAGAGAAAGGGCCGTCCGTCGGCGTGGAGGGCTGCGAGGTCGGGGGGGACGAGGAGGAGGAGGAGCTGCTGGGAGGGTAGAAGCCGGGCGGCGGGTAGCGCCCGGGTGTCTCCCGGATGATGGAGACGTGAGACATCGGGTGGTGGGCTTGCGGGGCGCCGGGGGGCAGCTTGGAGAAGGGCGGCGGCGACAGGTCGTGCAGCTCGGGGCTGGTGCTCGGAGAAGACGAGGCCGGCACAGGGGAGGGCTTGCCATCCACACTGACGGAGTAAGACCCGCCCACTGAGCAGGGCCCGAGGTCAGAGGTCATCATCTGGGTCATGACCTGTGGGGGGAAGTAGGGCTTTGCTTGCAAGGACAGGCCGCGCTGGCCGCACAGCGGCGGGGCGTCGAAGTCGTCGCGCGGCTCCATCTTTATCGTCGGGGCTGCGAGGGAGAACGAGAAGAAAGGAGAAGCTGAATGAGTGAAGAAGGATTCCAGGCGTCCTGCGAGCGCGACTTAGCGAGTGGGTTTGCGGCTACGAGACCCGCTGCCAAACAAACACGCTCATCAATGAGACTCTGTGTCTGGGCCCGAGCTCTCCCACCCGGCTGAAAATATTTAGAAAAAGAAAAGAAAAGGGATGACTCATCAACACGAGGACCCATCCAGCTGCCTCTATAATAAAACGCTTGTTTTCTTTGGGCTGCGCTCCGGGGCGAATACCTACAAATGTGAGATATGCTGCTGCAACGGGGGCTCCGTACCCAGCAGGGTTCGGCAATTTAAAATGGATTACAGCTCGAGAGGAGAACGTTTAACTCAACGCGAGAGCTGCTTTTTTTTTTCTTTCTCCCTTTTTCTTCACTAAATGTGTCTGAAAAGGACAAAATGTTGGTTAGCGCACAAAGTGAGAACCGGAGCCCTGGACGCCACATCAGCATCCAGCAGGCACCTCAGCAGCTCGATTACAAGGAAACGACATCTTCTCCAATGCATCTCGCAACCGGATCAATTTCCCCATTTCTCTTGTGGTGAAACAGTTTGGAAAAATTGCAACATGAAGCGTTTGCTTGAAATCGAAGCGGAACTGACAAACGAATCGTAATTCTTCCTCCCGTGTTTCAATATCTTATTTCTAGCCCCCCCGAGGCCAGAACTGAACCCAGCATGCACCCTTCTGTTAGCAAGGCACTCCCTCCATGCCGCCTTTACTACACTTCATCTCATAGCAGTTTAGTTATCTATGTTTCCCAAAATAAATCTGCAACACCTCTGCTGCAAAGAAAAGCGACAGGACACACTGACAGTTTAGAGAAATGCTTTTTCCCCTCCAGCTGTTTCACCCATTGTCTCCATCCTTTTGGACCCGAGTGTTCAGCAGGATTTAGGAGGCGCGGACCGGGCGAGCCGCCCTCTCCGGTGTCCCTCCCCTCCCCTCTCACTCCGCATCCCGAGGACAATGCACCACTTTCACAGCGGGGCACTTGGTCGCCCACGTGCAGGGCTGGGCCATTTCGCTTGAATCACCGCTTTGAACCGCCCACTGGATTTTTTCGCTCCAAGCCCTGAGCGCAATTAGCAGCGGTTTCTACATTTCAGTTGGAGGGTCAGTGTTTATATTTAGCTTGGCAACAGGTTCCCTTTTCACATGACATGCTTTTCCCATGCCCCTATCCCCCACCCAGCTGCCGTAATGTCCAGGTATGGAAAAGAACAGATTTTATTTGTCTTTTTTAACAATGTAGGAATAATAACGCTGCTTTGTTCCGCCCTAGCAAACCACCAGACGAGGGGGAATACCAACTATTTGTGCTTGTGTGCAGAAACGCTGGCCGAAATGTTTCTCACAGGGTCTGAAAGGCAGACGGACGGAGCGATGGAGTCGGCGAAGACGTGCCGGTGGCTTCGAGGTAACAACACGGGCTGTTCGCTGAGCAGTTTGTAGGACAATGGAAATGTGTACCAAGTGTCAGCGCAGCACGGAGCTCTAAGGGAAGAGGTCGTTTGGTAGATCAGGGCCATCTAACCCATTCAGGGGTCGCTCAGCAATTCGTTACGTGCAGGCGACGACCGCTTCCAATGGGTGGCGTCACAGAGGTCAAGGCCACCTCGCAAAAGGTGCAGTTCAATCGAAAAGTTACTTGAAGCCAAATGCAGAAGCAGCTAAGTGTGTGTTTTCGGTTGGGCAGTGAGGACGTGTGAGGAGCGTGAGAGCTTTACCACTGGCAGGGACGTAAGTGAAGCGCTGGTACTGGCTTCTTTTCCTCTTGCCATTACAGACGTAGAAGTTCACGTGGACCGGAGCGGAGAGTCTTTGGCTCCGATAGGGAGGGATTTCAATGAGTAGTGAAGTCTGAAACAAAAAAAGAATCAAATTAAGTAATATATTCTTGTAGTTCGTATAAGCAAACAAACCTTTAATAATATTATAATTATTGTATTGTCTAAATCTACCTCTCATACGTAAAGAAATCACAAGGTGAGAAAATACAATATGCATCCAAAACAGAAAAGTTTATTCACAACTTTTACTCATTTATACAATAACAAATGAATGGTGCATTGAAGGCAATTTTGGTGGTTTACAGTGGAGAAACGTTATGTGTTTATTGATTTTTGTTTTCTCACAGTAGTATTAGTATATTAGTATAATATATTATATCAGTGCCTGTAATTAGTATTTCAATGAAGGCCTGCGATTAAAGAAACCGATTTTTATTTATTATTTTTCCTTGTAAAACCTTCTTTCCGCCTGTTCGTAAGTCACAAACACTTCCGACTTAGAAAACGGATCATCCAAAGTGTTGTTTCCTCCGTTGCCGCTCGGTGCTTCCGTAGTATTGTTTCTGTTTGTTCGCAGGTCACAAGAGAGGACGTGAGGCCTGGATTGTTCTCTTTTCCTTAAAATCCGTAGCATGAAGTGGAGTGTGCTAAAAACCTTGGGACTCATTTCCCCAGCAGAGCTTCCTGCTGCCCGGAGAGACCACTTCCACGCACCCAAATGTTTAAGCCTGTGCTGCTCAGTAGCGAGGGAGGAAGTCATTTGTCTGGCCGGCCTAGACTACACAGGTGAGAGCGGACACATTAAATCACCGCTGTCGTGAAATTAATTCAAACCAGATGAGGCTTTTCAACTTTTCTAGATTCAACACGACCTTTCAGAGAATTAGCCGATGAAAAACTCTGTATACGTTTGCACTGCGTAAGCGGAGACTGACGGGAATATTCGCAGCGCTTCACTCGCGGCGCTGCTGTCCAATGTAGAAATCTGGAATTCCAAGTCATGCACGAGTGACATCATAATCCCTCGCTCGGAAAGCTTTACCTTCACATGTGTTGTTTTATGAAATCCTGTCAAACCACGAAGGAGCGACTGCACCTCACGCAGCCACATGTGACAAATTGAGGATGAAGGAGCCTTCTTGCCCCCCCCTTTCAAGACCATTCACCAGAGTTTATTTAGTCTTCTAATTCTCAGAATTAGAACTGAATCATCCCTCGTCTCCCTCGGGGGGGAGGGAGGGTGAGGTATTCTGAATAAGCCGTTTGATCGGGCGTCGTGGCGGAGAAGCAGCCGCCGAGGTCAAACCTGGCCAAGGCAAAGTCTGTGTTTAAAATGGGACCAGTCCAGCAGACTGGGCTGAGAGGGGAGGGAGGGAGGGAGGTGGGGGGGTCTTTGTCTATTCACGCAGACAGATGGGTCCCAGCAGTCGCTGTATATGTGAGAGAGAGAAAGTGTTTCGCAATGCGCTGAGACGCTGAGAGCAGGGGCACCGCCTCAGACACGGACACCCTCTAATCCCCTCGTCTGAACCCCAGACTCCCACCTACACGTCTCTCCTCCCCCCACCCCCTCCCCCCTTTCCCTCCCCCTCTGTGTGTGTCCCAGTCCAAGACGGGACCCACTGGCGAGTTCAAACTCCCTGAGAGCGGAGGTTGAACTTTTAAAGACCTTTTTGGACACAACACTGCTGTTTCCCTCTTGAGGTGCTTCTGCAGTGAGAACTGCAGTCATGAACCTGTTTGTGTACTCATGTGATTTTCTACATACCGTGTTAATATCAATGGTTTTCGCATTGTTTAAAAACAATAGGTAATTTTTTTTCCCCCCAAGGGATGAGAAGTTTTTGTTGTTTTGACTTTTAGGTTGAAACCGCCCTTAAACGAAAAGGGTTCAATCAGACCCACGAATTGGAAACGAACCTCAGTTCACTCCCAGCTAAGGTTATTTTATGTAAGTGACTTGAGGACAGGTGTGAAGGAAGGTTCTGCTAGAATTATCCAAGATCCTCTTTGTTTCAGGTGTTTGTTGTTGTAATACTTGAGTCAGACACCAGAGGCTGCGGAGAACCTCATCTCCAGACACAAATACACACATGCATATTATTCAACTGGAGGAAAACATGAAGCCTTTGAGTGATATCTGGAAGATGGTGTTGTAGCGCAATATAGCTTCTTGTGGGCAAAGTAAGTATTACAAAATTTAGAAAAATAATTCTGATAAATCACATTTCACCGGCTTAAATATTGTTTTCGCATGAATTAAAAGAAGAAGAAAAAAGATCCCGCTCTCAAGACAGCAGAGAAAACAATTTAGATTTTTAAATGCAAAGGCAGTTAAATGTTTGTCGGCGCTTTAATCCTGAAATGAGAGCTGATTGGTGCCGATGGCGGCGTCCCGCGTATCACTTACAGGCTTCGAGGCGTCTCTGTCAACCTTGGCCTCGGTCTCCCAGAGGTGGTGACCATCTGAAGAAAAGAAGACAGAACAAAAAAGAAAAGTTACGTGATGACAAAATCAGAAAATCATCCAGCTCCTTGGCACCCAACAGAAGTGAAGAAACGCTGTGAGCGCCGGCGTTATTACCCGTGACATCAGGGATAAATTAAACAGCCGCACGTCATCCTGTCTGCTGACTGACCCGCCGCTCAAATCCTCAGCCGAGCAGACCAGGGACAGACAGAGGAACCTGATGCAATCCTTAAAGGGGAAAAGAAAACCCGCCACCTCTTTTGACTGTGTGGAATCCCAACGCGCTCCAACAGCTGCTGCGCTCATTATGGACAACGACGGGAAACTCACGACGCAACGTTCAAACTCCTTCTTCCTCCTGTTCTCATAGGAATCGGTCTGTGATCCACATTTAAGGATGTGCTGCTTTTCTCCCTTATCTTGCTACAGTAAAAAAAAAAGGACAATGCACCATTTGAACCGTTGGAAAACAGGTCTGCTGGGAAGTTGATTTGTCATTCAGTAAAGCGACATTCTCACCAACTCACTACACACAGAAGGAAACCATTGCAATGTCTTAAGACTCCTGACTCGTTAAAAGTCCCAATAAAAATAGTGTAAAAACAGCGTTTCGTGGCAGGGAGAAAGCACTTTGAAGAAGAAGTTCAGCCGCGGCCTGTTTTCCTTGGAGATATGTGGCGCGTTGCTCAACAGGCCTGTCTGCAGTTTGATAAGTGGACTGTTTGAACGGAGCAGGCAGCGCGGTGCAGATGGAGAGGCGTTGTGAGGTGGCAGAGACGGAGGAGGTGCAGCTCGGCACTGACAGCTTCTATTATGTCTGAGGAGACACTGGAAGGCTGTTTCCCCCCGTCCTCCCCCCTCCTCCCCCACAGCGTCCGATCGCCGCTTCAGCTGCTGCTCTCCAGAAAGAAGCGACGCCGTTAGACATCCGGCACAGGACCGGTGCCACATGTGGAAGGTTCATGGATTTAAAGTCCAAATCCCATAACATGGTTCTAAACATGAGCAGGGGAACAGGCTGACGTTTTGGCGTCCAGAACAACCGTTGACTCGCTCTCCAGATCCAGATCTCCAACAACCAGCTAGAAGTTCAGTAATAATCGCCTTGAACACTCATTTACATAACATGTTTTACTAAAGATAAACACGTGTGTGTCAACGAGGAAGCTCGGGTTCCTCTCCAGGAGGGAAGCCGCTGCAGTGCATGTCGTGCTTTTCAGATCTCCCTCTATGTCTCTCTCACATTATCAAATCAATACAGGGATTGACAAATCTAATTTAGCACTTTATTTTCTGTGCCTGGCCACCTACTGCCAGGAAACTTCTTGAGCGATGAGAAGCTTTGAGTGCGTGGGCAGCCTTTGTTTGAAAAGAGCCAAACGGATAATTGATAACCACGGAATGTAATTGATAACCGCAGAATGTTCCAGAGCAACATCTGCACAGCGCCTGCAGCGCCTCCAATGAAAAAAAAATAAAAGGCGTTACCAGCAGTTCCTCTCGGGCTCCCCTTGCTACCCACTTTCAGCTCAACGCGGTTGCCGACTCCCTGGCCCACTGTGCTGGATGACATCCAATGCGATCAAAGCCTAAAACCCCTGCACCAATAACCACCCCGACCATATAAACCCGGTTCCCCTCGCTCTCTCCAACTCTCCCCGAGCTCCGCTCGCCCCTGGCCGCGATCCCGGGCTCCTCGCACAAGTCCTCGCGAATTCACATTTCGTTAGCGATGGTCTATACAAATCATTACAGACATAACACAGCGCAGCGCCGGTGCGTTGTGCAGTGCCGACGGGGATCAAACTATATACAATACGGTTATTTGTCATGTCGGGCGTATGGAGGGAATCAAACAGCTCCTTGTGCTCCTTAATTGGCTCTGGGTGGAGTAGAAACCGCCGGTGCCCAGAGTGAAACAGCGGGCTGGCGTGCGCCCAAAGACCTCATAACGGACGGTAAATACAAACACATGCTTCCACCCGGAGCACATGTGGCCCGCTCAAAGACTTCCCTTGTCCTCTCACCGAGGGCCGAGACCGAGAACCCTTCTTCCCGCCCCGAAAAACACGTGGGACGTTGGGCGGCGCACGAGAGTCGCTGCGACAAAGCCGAGGAAGCGAGACACAGAGATCACCTCTGCACCGGCGCTGCTCGCAGCCACGTGGCGCCTTCCTCTCCCACAACGTCATCTGGACTGGAAAGCGGGGCTTTCAGCGAAGAGGGAGAGAGAGACTGTGGGGTTTCTCAAACGGCCCCGCGAGTTTTATGAATCACGCACTGTTATTTATAAAAACACATATTCCCCGCTGTTTATGTGGCTGCGATTGACTTGTTGATGAAAACGGCCATTGTTCTCAGAAGTGGCGGCGGCGGCCAAACCACCAAGCAGCCTGGAGTGGAAGTCATTGTTCTATTGGTGGAAGGGATCCGACCCATTGACCCCCCCCCCCCCCCGCCAAACGGAAACCACTGCTCAACGCCAGCGGAGCCGCAGTGACATCACGGCGCTCTGCAGTTTTCTACAGGTAATACCAGGCGCCGCGTGGCCGGCGTGCGGCGCGGTAACCCTTCCGCGGTCCCCGGTGACCTGTGCGGCTGTGGACAACGATTAGACACAATTAGCTGCTCGACGCTCCACCTCATCCGCTCGCAAAAAGACGCACAGGTGAGGAACAGACAAGTAAAAAGTGGTGATTCCCAGTGATGCCGAGTGCCGCAGCAGAGCCGGCAGATGTGAAAGAGGGTGTTGTCCTCTGCGAGGAGCTTCCACCGGAGTTAAGCCATCAATCAGTGGCAATACAGCAAGGAAGAAAGACAAGCAACACAAAAGGACACCAGGCGCTTAAGCGAGGGCCGTGTTCGTACATTCACTTTCTGTTATCCTATCATAAGCCTACAGGTGAACCACTTCACGGTAATACAAAAAGTATACGAAAAGTGTAATACGAGTTTTACCTTTTCGTGAATTTAGATTTCTAGTTTTTAGAAGAAAAAAAAATGGAAAAAGAAATCACACTCTTGCTTCCTCACACAATCTTTGCACTTTTTTTCCTTTTTTACCATTTGGCCCCTTTAGCCATTTTCTTTCAAAACATAAATCAGATCTGTGGTCTCTCCCAGCAGACCCCAGACAACTCAAACCACAACAGAAGCAGAGGTGGATAAAGGACAGGAGGGCCTGATTTCCCCTAAATGGAGCGAGTGTGACTTATCGGAGACGACATCTTTCTGGGCCGGCCGCGGGCAAATGAAAGCAAGGTGAGAGATTGAGCCGGGTTTAGATTACAGGCTGATGTCTGCAGCAGTACAGTGATCACTCATGACCGACCGGCTGTAACCAGGAGTGACAGCTGAACCGATGCTATCTCGCGCTGTTTCTATCAGGGCGGCGTTGAGGCGGGAGGCAGGAGGCCCGGGAGGGAGAGGGAGGAGGCCCAGGAGGGAGGAGGCCCGGGAGGGAGGAGGCCCGGGCTGACAAGCAGCTGCTTTCAGAGGATGCTCTCCAGGCGAGGAACAGGTGACTGAGGGGGCAGGTGGGCAACATCCCCTATTCTGGATTCACAAACTTGACAGTTTTAATTGTTTCTCAGAGCGCCGCTTCGGCAGGAGCAACAATAAGAAGTTACAATAAAGGCTTATAAACGATCACCCGAATTCTATTGTCAGAAGAATACGAGTGAGTTGTTTTGCTTGTAGCTACAATTGTGTCTCAGTGACTCCATTTCGCCCCGGGGGGTTAATGACGCCGCTGCTCCGCTCGCCTGCGTCTGTTTACCCGTCTATTTATACGGAAAAGCAGGTGTAAAGAAGACGTGGTCCACGGGGAGGTCGCGGCTCGCAGACTTGATTAACTGGCGGCGCACAGCACGCTTGGATAAAGAGGTTGAAGCACGGAGGGAATCAGGCTGCAGGGTGTTTCCATGCTCGGGTTGCCCGGGAATCTGACGCCGGGGCCTGACTCGGGGAAACCCTCATCAAAAACAAGAGAGCGACACCCATCGGGTCCAGAGGCTGATCGCCGCCCCCCCCCCCCCCTCCGAGGACGGCCGGACCGAACCGGCCGGTTCTCCGAGAGCGCAGCTGCTGAGCCTCAGCACTCACGCCAGCGTGTGTTTCTGGTCAGTTCTTTGTCTCTGCTGCTAGAAAACCAATTGATTGGAGTTGATTGTCTCACAGAGGCAGATGTACACTCACTCAATCCCCCCCCTGAACCACGGGGGGCTTAATTGACGTCATCTGGCGGGTGATTGAGTGTGAGAGTCTGTGAGGGCTGTAAATGGAGTAAATACAAATCACTTTGCTGCAAGACATCACGTCACCATGACAACATTAACAAATATTTATTTTAAATGTTTTACTCCCTGATTCTGGGCTCTTTACTCATAAGATGAGAGGTCATTTCAAATGATGTTTTTTCTTTTTAGCTTCAATGACAAAATGAAATGTTTGATGAATGAGTAAATATCGTGTGACGTCATGTGGGGTTTTGTTTCTTCTGTCTTTAATGTTTCTGTTCACATTTACTATGACAGCCTGCACACACAATTCTGTTTATCTTTCTACGGCTCCACACTTCCACTGTTGTCCTGTGTTTCATTTCATGAACATTTGAACTATTATTCCAAGATTCATGTTTCTAGGGCATGAGATGAGGTCACATCAAGTACTTCCATCCATCCACGATTCTCAATGCAAAGATTTTAAATTCAATATTTTGAATATTCTAAAATGACTGAATTCTTCTATGCGGATTTGAGAAACTGTTTTATTTTGGTTGATGTGTCCTAACAGTGTGATTTAAATTGATACTTTTCTTTACTTATAACCTAAAGTTTTTTTCAATGTAAAGCTAACTAATGACAGCCATCTTTCCATTGTTGTAAACAATTGCAATTTGACTTGTTGGTTGTGTCAATCTGAATGCAGAAACAAAGCTGATTGGGTGTCAACGAGCCAATCACAACGTTCAGAACTACCATGTCATTTATTAAACTAGCCAGCAAATAAATCAATACATTTTCATCAAATGGTTGCTGTTAAACTCAAAAAATGAAAAGGAGATTATTTATTTATTTCAGTATTAAGATCTGAATTTCACCAAAAGGCAAATGGGGAAACTAAAAGGGAAAAACTGTTCTATCTATTCAGACTCTTCTGATTTCATTTTCTAATGATACAGATGTTTGCTGTTGATCCAACCTACAAAGATTACAAACGCCCTTCATACCTTCCCCACCTCCTACGTCGACACGCTCCCAACCCCGACCTCCTTTGCCCCCCCCCCAACTCGCTCCACACACCAGACGCCGGCATTCTCCTTCCCTCGCCACCTTTAAAACTACCCTAAAACTCCTCATGTTGTTCCTCACTGACACGATGTTATCCTTCTTATTCCTGTTGTCTTTGAGTGCCTTTTAAGCACTGTATAAATATAATGGATTATTATTATTATAATGGATTATTGAATCCAACCAGCGACGTTATTGTTGCACGAGTCCGACACGGAGGAAGACATCGGGGTTCCTCATAGAGGCTGAGAAGAGGGGAACCAGGCCTCATTCAATCACTTCATGTTTGGATAAATAATCTCACCCCTCCCTTGTCCAGTGCTGGAGGGGGTAAGTGGGGGGCGTGGAGGGGGGGGGGGGACTTTTTTCTTTTGCCGGCGCAACAATGAAAAGGCTTCCCTCGTATTTTCTGCGTTGCTTCTATTCGTGAATGAATCACACGTGGCTCTGCTGAAGCTAATCAAGGAAATGGCTGTTTGTAAACCTCCTGCTATCAACATCTGGGAGCAGTGCCTCCCCCCTCCGAGCCGGCTTGAAGAAAGAAAAGGGAAACAAATACTGAGCCATGGCGACACACACACACACACACACACCAGTGCATGCATCCACACCATGTGCACAGTCACCCACAAAGGCACGCAGGCGTACGCACAAGAACGTGCTGCTTTTGTGACCCGCTGCTCCGCTGAGCAGGCAATGGAAACTGTAAATGTAAATCCGCTGGGTTAAAAATACAGCGCATTAATGTGCACCACATGTGGCGCTCTGGCAGGACGGAGGGTATTTTGATGGAGGGGGGGGGGAAGGGAGAGAGGAGGCGGTCCTGGGGTTTCTCCAACAACGGAGAGGGAGACACGCGCAGACGAGTCCAGAACTCCTCCCTTTTTACCTTGAGCCTTTTCCACGAACACCACCTTGGAGTCGTGCTGGAAGTTGTGTCCGTCGATGTTCATCCGCTCGCCCCCGTGGGCGGGACACGTCTCCAAGCTGCGCTTGTCCACCAGAGGCAGCTCCTGGGCGGATCTCTGGGCTGTGGGAGAGAGGGGGGAGTGAGACGGGCCTCATGGTTCAGCACACACCCGCTCCCCATGCAGACCTGAGCATCCAAGCCGGCGCTGAGTCACACGAAAGCCTCCAGGAAGCAAACACAGGCCCCATGTTGTGTTTTTACCCCCCCTCTCAAATTATGGAGGATGTTTTTCTCAGGTTTGGTTTATGAGATAGTATTAAGAGTAGGGTTTTTTTCTTCACCTATGTGTGTTTCTCATTCTTTTCTTACCTTTAGTTTAATGAACGCTGTCCGTCTAAGGGTCTCGCTCCTTCATCGGGATTGACTGGGAGACATCAACCCCGGTTCAGAGAGCCGGTATGTTTTCCTCACATAAGGACAATCTTTGAATGTGATTCGACCCGCGCTCCGATTTTGATGAAACTTAAGTTCCCTCTTTTTGGAAACCATGAATCATTACCACATTTCTCCTTTTCATTGAACTGAATTCTGGTCAGAAACAATTGCTTTGTGGCAGTTGCTCAGAAAGTAACAATGGTCTTTTTCAAAAGGGTTGACATCATGGTTTAACTACTGTCTTTCATTTAACTCATCAGACGTAATCTCTGTGGCAGCTCTTGCTGCTACAACCACATGAAGCGGTTGATCTGCCCGACTTCGCCCACTGAAAAGGGTCAACTCCGGCGCAGAGTCGATACAGTTTAGGCAAGGCCCGCATCGACTTCACACGCACAAACACTGTGGTGCTCACATGCACCGGCAGTGACGATGCTGCATATGAGGACTACTGCTTCTATTCTGGTGTTTTACCTTTTAAGAAAAACAGGGGAAATTGTTTTGTTCGTGCTCGAGGCGGTTGCAAGCCGTTTATTGCTTTGTCTTTTTTCTGTCGATCTCTCCAAAAAGTAGTCATTTGCATATTGTGTAACTTTTCTTGTTATATAATTAAATGATTGTCTTAATGTAATCAACAGATTAAATTGAAGATGAAATGTTCTTGCGGTGTCTTCTAAATGTATGCCATTTTAAAATACAAAAAAAATCTTGTTCTCTAAATATGTTCTCGGAGCCAGAGATCTTTTTTTCAACGCATAATCGATGAAGCATCATTGGATCATCGTCCTGGATGCAGCATCAGTTGCCGTATGGAGCGGATTACAGTGTGTGCAGCGCTGACTGGTGCTGTGGCAGCAGAACGTGTTTACTCTCCTACTCAATGACTGAAGCTGTGAAAACGGGAACCCAGCAACAAATCAAGTCGGAAAATTGTGCCCAGACAGTCAATTTAGTAAATGGAGAGCAAGTTTGGGTTGATTATTTCTAAGATATCAAGACGGATTTGCTGTTCACAATGTAGCGCAATTGTGGGGAAAATAGGCTCCCGTCCCTGGACGTGTCAATAAGGTACCTGGCATCACCGCAACCATAAAAAGTGTTACTAAATATACAAATAGTGTTACTTGATCATGTAAAAGCTTCAATTGATGTGAAAAATACATGAGATAAGTATCCAATATTGCATTAAACAAATATTAGATTGAATATAGAAAGCTTTAAATAATGTATATATATATTAAATAAGCGTATCAAGGGTGTTAATACATTGGATAAATATGTGAGAGTCGTGAATAAATAACGCTTTGGAGGAGTGAGGAACTCACAGCACTCGATGGGGTTGGATGAAACCTGCAGGGACACGGTCCGGCCCGTGGGCTGGTTGATGTGCGCTCTGAACACCATCCTCACGCGCGTGTTCTTGCGCCCGATGTCCGTCTCCCCCTTCCTCAGCTCGATGTCGGAGTTGCGCAGCTTCAAGATGCCCGCGCAGTCGATTCTGTGTTTGTAGAAGGGGAGCCCGTCAGTCCACACGCTAAATCATCACGCGAGCGACGCGCCACATCCTCTCACAGCTAATCAGCCCGCGATTGATGCAGTGTTCACTATTTCAGCCAAAACAAACAGCGAAGCGAGCAGAAGATTAACGCCGCTCCACCCGTCCGGGCGCTTTCCCCTCAGTGCCTCCACTCGTGGGTGAAATTCAAATCCTACAGAAACAACATTCATCACGGGAGGAATATCTCCCTTAATGGGCCACAAGAGATGGGTGCTGAAATGCTGTTCCCCTTCCACAAACCTCACAGCCACCAAAGTCATTATTGATTTTACAGCTACAAAGTCATCGTCGCACACTTAATAAAGGTCCCCCATCCTCCTCCTCCTCCACCTCCTCCTCCTTCGTCTGCACTGGTGCCCTCAAACGGTTTCACACTTAAATGCCTTGAACTTCTCTCATAAAAAACGCTTCTGGCTTTTCCATCGACGAGCTACTCGACGCTGCATTCCTCAAAGCAAAGTAAATGTCAAACTTTTACACACATTTGAACCCTCCCCAACGTTCTCCCCGCCAGACGCCAGGCTCCGCCGCAGTGAGGAAGGTAATCAGGTGTTGGCAAACCGAGGCGTTCAGCGCCAGAGTCTCTCATTTTATCTTTTAATGAACAATTAATAGAAGGCATCGTAGAGGCTTTAGTTCAGCTATTTGATCACGATTTATGATTTACACCCAATCGTCATGGATAACTATTGCAAACCTAATAAGGCCTCGGCCACATGTGTCAGAAGGAATAAATCCCCCGCCTGCAGTGTGAGGGGTCCGAGGCGTGTCCCCTGTGGGAAGAGGGGGAACCGTATCCCGAGCTGCAGACTAAGGGGAGCGTGTCAAATTCATTAAACGCAGGAAAGGTGCTGATGCCAGCAGATAGAAACCCAGAGCATCTCCATCTGTTGGCAGCAGTGGAATACAAAATTCAAAACCATCTTTGCATGAGGGCGCAATGACCTGAAACTATAAATTGTTGTGTTTTGTTTAGCACAGAATGATCTTTTTGCATATACACAGGGGCGGCCCTCCTCTTAAGAGTTTGCAGAGTTTTTAAAGTCACCCACTGGAGAGGAACGGCTGAGCAGCAGCGGTTTCGCGGAGGAGGGCCGCTATGCTGCGGTTTTCGCTCTTGTGCACAGGAAGAGGACGTAGACGTAGTCGTGACATCCTCCAGTGGTTTGTGGATTGCAGTAATGAGGCCTCAACATTCGCGTTTTGTCCATCACCAACTTGACTTTTTGCCACCGGGTAACGGAAGACATCAGATCAGGACTGACTATCTCGCCAGGAGACGCCGTGAAGCCTTCTGTTAGCGTTAGAGACCGTCCCATCCCGATGTAGCCCCAAACACACCCTGCATGCTAATGCAAAAACTACTGAGGTTACCGGGGGAATAAATAAAGTCATTTTCGCGTGGACATCAATATAATTTCTGCAACTTCGATATTATTTCTACTACAAAAGGAGTCGCCCCCTGTTGGCCAGTAGAACAGATGCAAGTTAAGGAAACCTCCGAATTGGCTTCGCTTTCCAGAACCTGAGGGTGCCGGCCGGTCTCCACTGACTCCAAACCTGACCTGGAGGGGAGGGTCTCAAAAGACCCGAGACGTGACCTTGACCTTCCAGTGGTTTAATACTCTCAAGTTACTTCGGAACGAGTGCCCAAAACAAGTCTTTCACTTGCCCCCCCCGGCACTTACACGGCCCGCATGTTGTTCTCTGGCAGCAGTGGGATTTCCAGGATCTTGGTGTTGTTGTTGTGCAGGGCCTCGTGGCTCGGCGTGGACACGGTCTTGCCGGTGATGCGGTGCACCTGGTAGAAGGCGTGCGGCCTCAGCAGCCTGTCGTCGGCGGTGCCGATAAACAGCTGCAGGGTCAGCGGCTCGCTCTCCACGTAGCCGTGAAGCTGAGAGTAAAGAAGAGAGACACACAGTTGCGGTTAAAGCCTTCGCATCCTCTACACATTAAAAAAAAAGAAAGAAAAAGAAAGACCCTCCACTGGCTTTCGGAGGTCGGGCCCCTCGGTGCTTTCAACAAGGCCCCCAGTTAGGATCTTAATCACCCATTTCATCAATGGCCTGAGTACACTTCCTCCATCAGTCCATGTTAGCTCTGCCAACATGTTGATGCTACAGTAGCCGAACCTCAGCGGTGGTAAAAAAAGAAAAAAAAAAAAAACCACCCACGGGGAGCCGTGTTGTGATTTGCGACTAAGACTGAGCTAGTGTTTTCAGAAAAGTCTTAAGCTGTGTCGTTCCCACTGAGCCGCGGCCAATCAGTTATCAGTAAAAGGATCCTGAAGACGGTGGAGAAACGCTGCTCGGCGGGTCCGACCACCAGCTTGAAATACAGCACTGCCAGACCTCCATAGGTGTTGCTTGACGAGAGGCCTCCTGCCATGATGACCTCAACCAGCCGAACTGCAGAGTGCCGGCACGGAGCCCAAAGCCACAGACCTGAAACCCGAGCGGAGCGGCGACCACCGACACGCCGTGAGAGAGCTGCCGACGTTATCCAAACAGGAAGGAGAGCAGGATAACTGACGCGTAGATGTCAAAACAAATCAAATAAAGAGACAGATAAGAGAGGAAAAGGGGCAACACATAAGACTGTGCTGGATGTGTTGTTCACATCTCATTTTAGAGGTGCAGTTGATAGTTTTCAAAGCAAAGGTGGGGATTAATTTGTTACATCTCGGAATCCCTTTCGCACTGTTCTTAAATAAATAACACGTCATCAATCAATGCGGTATGTGAATAAACATACAGGTTCTCCATGAAGAGGTGCGATATAGCACATTCAATTAGAAAAAATGGATGTAATAAAAATGTAGTTATAAACTAGTTTTTTTAAGTTATTGGTTGTCAAAAAGTACCTTTGTCTTTCCCAGTCAGTCCGTGATGCTGAACAAGAGAAACTCCTTTTGTTGTCTGGGTAAAATAATAGCTGTGATTTGTTCTATGACTTAATGTTATAGACTTAATTCATGCAATAATAACTTTGAAACTGCCTAGTTACAAAACATAGGGAACAGTATTCTTACTATGTATTTAGCTATTACGTAGGCCTATAAAACGGAAATAGTCAAATTGTGCGTGCAAGTCACCGTCCGTGCTCCAAAGCAGATGTTGGGTGAGATTGTCAGCCGAAGCGAAAGGGGAAATGTCAAAGTGACGACAGCGGCCTGCGCTCGCGTAACAGGGAACCCTCCAGGAGAAAAGCGCCCGCGGCGCTGGGAGGCGCAGCATGTGATTTGGAGGAGGATCCCTGTCGGGGTTAAGAGCCCTGTGTGTTTGTGTAAGGAAATGGGCTGCTGCCTAGCAATGCTGTTTATTTAGGCAGCAGGAAGTAGGGTGATGAAGCGAGGGAGCCGGCTCACACGGTTATGTTCAAAACAGTGATTACAAACAGATTGCTGATTATGGGCTTTGAATTATTATCAGCGCGACAGTCAAAGCAAATACAGATAATCACAGTCGATAAGTGTCTGAGCGATTTCAGCTGCCTTTTTGATCGCTCCCAAACTTCAAAAAAAAAGGTTTGCCTCTGTGAAAGCGTCTGCGTTCACTTCATCAGAGACATGATATTATCTCAGCAGCAACCCTGAAATCAGGAGACTTTTCTGCTGTGAATAATTTTCATAAAGCAGCTGCAGCCGACGACAGTTGTGATTTTTTTTTTCTTCCCCAGAGTCATTAAATCTGCCCGATACCACTTCATGTGAAGCCTCCTGGCAGTCCGACATGGGCGAATACGGCCTTCACTCCCCGGTTCGTATTATCACCCACAAGAGGAATGCCGAGACTGTGGCTGCTCAAAGCACCAGAGAGGAGGAGGGAAGGGTGAGCGCTGCCGGGGCTCCCCTCCATCCACAAGAATATACAACACAAACACACACAGATATATATATATATATGTATATGCATATGGACTACGCGAGAGAGAGGAAGCTCAGTGTGACCGGCAATCTATCAGAGGCCAAGAAAAGACTGAGTATTAATCTACATAAATGCACAGGAAAAAACTTTTTTTTTTTTAAATCAATGGGCTGATCATGAAGGCTTTGGGGAAAAAATGAAGACCTTTCAGACTCCAATAGGAGGTATTTCCTCTCCAGCGCTCGCTGCGGTGAGGACTGCACACGGCCCTTCAGAGGAGCATACTTCAGTCTGCTGCTGGCGTGAAGGCGGGCGTGGTGAGGGAAAGCAGCGGCGATGGCAGACGAATTACAATAAAAATAGCCAGTTGAGCCGCGCTCGATGCCGGTCGCCGACGGGGAGAAAAAGGAAGCGTATCGAGCAGGACACGAGCTTCCAGAATAAACTCAAGGGCGGGGCTCTGAGTCAGAGGGGCGTCTTCGTCAGCCGGCGTCCAGCATTGCAGAGGGTTGCTGCGCCGTGTGCACCATGTAATCACAAAGTCACAGAGATGGGGGCCGCCTCGTATGAAGGCTCCCTCCAACGTCTTCAATGGAGCCGGCCAGAAACATGTGTGGTTCTGGGTATGCCGCCGCCGCCGCCTCCGCGGGACGCGATGATGTCAGACGCACAGACGGGGAACTTTGCTAAACAAAGGGAGGTCTGTGTGGTTGGGCTTGCTACCCGGCTGAAAAGTAAAAGGGGAGGACTGGAGTTGGGTTTTAAAAGAGAACACACACACACACTCGGTCTTTCGGCCCGGTTGAACCCAGACCCCTGTCATTAAATCATTCGCACCTTCTCATGGACAAATATGCTTGCGTCCTGCACGCATGAGTGGCTGGAGGTGCAATGCGCTGGATGATGCAGCGAAGTGTTGGTTTCTAACTGTCATGTGTATGTATCATAGCCGCATACAAAGACATTATTATAGCGCGTTAACATGCTCAGCTCCAATATATATATATATATATATATATATATATATATATATATCTACTATATAGTAAGTTGCTTTTTGACATAAACAGACTGTATAGTCAATTTTTGCAGGTTTAATAACATGTAAATTTTCTCATAATAGTTTGCATTAAAACATACTCATTGGAACTCGAGCTCTGATCTTTCAGAGACCTTAACAAATAGTTTAGTTTCAATTTACTACAAACTAATTTCCACATGAAGGAGAAAATATTTGCGTAGGCTAATTGAGAAGAAAGCGCGATTCACACATACAGCAAACAACCAACATTAGCATCATTTGGTGTTGCTTTCTGAAGGATAGAAGTAAAATATTCACGCTCCTCTAAACTCTGTTTTGATTTTTACTGCCAGTGGGAATCTGTTTCAGCTAAATGCTCCACATCTTCACTAGCCAGTCGCCAACTTTTTCAACAGGTGTTCTCTGCTGGATAGAAGTATAGTATTTTGAGTTTACTTGAAGTTTCTTTACACAGCCAAAAGCCGTTAACAGTTAGTATGTAAAGTACTTTTGGAATACAGCAGTTTGTCCTTAAAATGTTCACTTAGCAGTGTTAGCATCCCCCATTCAAACAAAAGGGGCATGATTAGCTAACGGCTAGGTGTGCTAAAAAGATATTTTTATTCAAAGCGAAGTGCAAACACAGAAAATGTTGGCTCATATGTGATGGCTGTCTCGTTAACTTGCAGATTATTGCAATATGTTATTATTAAACGTCAAAGGGTATTAATTAAACCGACGGGCCTCTCGTCTTTGTCAGACGCCGAGCTGCAGACCCTTTATTTATTCAGAGACTGAGGTAAGCCTTCTGGGGTAACGGTCGGGGGACCAGATGGTTTTAAAACCAAAACATATCTGCAGTTGTCCACATTTTTTTGCCTGCGGTTGAAGCACATGACTAAGCTCTTACTGGCCACGCTACATCACTTTGCATCTGTCTGCGCTCCACAAACGCAATGGAAAAGTCTGAGTCACCCTCGTCTGGACCATTCAGAAATGTGACATCTTTGAATCATATAACGGCCAGGCTATGAAACACACGTCGCCCCAATCTATTTTAACACCGAAAAAGAAGCAAAAAAAAGAAAAGAGGGGGTGGAAAAACAGGTCCAATGACTGCACCGTGTGTTTCTCCAATCGTCACCGGAAACCAAACAGCCGAGTTAACTGGTTCTCAACATGGGGTTTGGGCCCCTGAGGGGGTCGTGATATTACTCTGAGGAACTCCAAGATGTTGATGTGTGAAAATGATGTTGTTGTTTTAAAGGGTATTTTGCCCAAATAATAGAAGATCCCAGTGTGCGAGTTGCGGTAAGGCGCCGGCATGGAGACGCTGGTTTGTTTAAAGACATCACAAAACGAAGAATTTAGGAAACGCCGGTTTGGCAGACCTGAACGACTGGGTGTCCCCCTGCCAGGGCCTTCACAGCTCCCCTGCTGCCCTCCGTCTCGTAGTGCGCTCGGTGGTGGGACTTGGGCTGCACGTCGATCTGCAGGCTGTACGGCCCCGAGCTGGACGGGAGCTGCCAGTCGAGAGCCGGCAGGGACGGGCTGTTGGGAGGACAGAACATGTCCAACAAGTTAGTGAGGAGGGCTTATTTTAGATGCGCTTATCAAGGTAGAATGTGCAGAATGTCAAGACAACGTGCCAGAGCTTGCAAACCTGTTTAGGTTTAAATGTTTAGTAAAAGTAGAACTTTTAATATAAATTTATCAGCGACAAAAAAAATAGATGAATAAATCTCAAGAACACAAATAATCCCCCTCAGGTTAATAAAATAGAACCACAGACTCATCTGCACCTCACTGCTTTATTACCTGACATGCTGCTTTGGCTTGGACCAGGAGTACGGGTGCTGTGGCACATCCAGAAACACGCCGCTGCAGCCCTCCTTCTTTAACGGCGGGCGGTTGGAGGGGTGATCTTCCTGACACGGCTCCCCCCGACGCTCCTCACCCTCCGGCTCCACCTTCATGCCGACCGTGGCGCTGTGCTCCGAGCTGGTCTTGCGGGCTTTAAGGGGGATCCCCTCCACCAGGTCAACCACCCCGTCTGTGGTCAGCGCGTTGATGGCCGCCAGGATGGCCGAATTGGTGTACTGGTTGGTGTTTGGCAGCCAGGTCTCCTCCGTGATACTGAGGCGGGGGGAGGCATGCGGGGAGCGTCCCGGGGAGATGTTGGGGGAGTACGGGTAGTGCTTGTGCGAGGCCCCGCTGCCGTTGAAGCTGTACTTCCTCTTCGCCCCGCACGGGGAGTTGGGCCTGGAGCCCCGCTGGCCCATCCAGGTGTCATCCGTCACGCTGGCGCGAGGGGAGCTGGAGGGGGAGTGGCGCGGGGAGCAGCCGGAGACGCAGCCGTCGCCCGGCAGAGTGAGAGCGGAGCCCTTGGGCGACACCGAAGGCGACTGCCAGGGTGAGTTCTGGGGCGAGTTGTCGTAGTTGTAGGAGAAGCTGGATTCGTAGGAGGAGGCGTCGGAGTGGCAGCTGCGGGACGAGACGCTGCTGGCCGGGCTGAGGCAGCTGGGGTCGCGGTAGCTGTCGCCGCCGGGGAGGGTCAACGTCACTATGGAGTTCAGTCGCTTGGCAACGGGTAGGTTGCTCTCCTCCACCTCCTCCTCGGGAAACTGGCCGTAGGCGGTAATCTCAATGCGAGGGCTCTCCAGCGCCGGGGCCCCGCTCGGACGGGACGCCGAATAGTAGCCGGCCGCTCTCATGTCGTCCTGGGCGTTGTAGCCGTGCGGCTCGGCGACGGATATGATGGGGCTGGATTGGAGGCTGTGGTACTGGGAGGGAAGGCAGGGGTTGCCCAATGGGATGGAGAGACTGACGTTTGGCGTATAGCCGTATGCCTCTGGAATACAAACATAGTTTGTTACCACGATGATCAAACACACGTTGCCTTTTACAGAGGGGGACGCCGTTGCCAAGTTGAGTCTCTTGGGAGCCACCGCGGCGTTTAGAGTGGAGGCTCCATGCGCAGATGTTGCCCAAGCTATTTCCCAGATGCTGGCGAGTTAAGACTTAACACCTCATCTATTGGGGATCTTGAAGGCAAAGAGGTCAGACACAAAAAACAGTGGCTCAATTTATAAAAAGAGGGGGGGGGGGTTGCAAATAAAAGGTGCCAGAAATAACCTCGGTCTAAAAATAAGCAACGGCCAAACCAGGTGTTTTTTTCCACTCGACATGGGCAGATATATGCCACTTAATGAACACGCCGCGGCCTATAAAGAGTAACAGGACGAAAACACACGCTTGATGCTTTTACTGGCCGGGTTCGAGCTCCTACAGCCATCGAAAATAAACACAGGCGGGACCTGATCGTTTTATTGGCGTGCTGTTAAGGTGGCGTGGGGGAACTCGTTGTCCTGTTGCCGAAACCTCCCGCTGGGTCACATCAAAGTCTTTGGCGAAAGCTGAGGTCACAACCGGTGGGGCAGGGGAGGGACATGGGAACTGGGGAGATGTGACCACAGCGGAGGCGCACTGATGCGTGTGGAGACCTCGGCTGCGGACAGACCGCCTGCAGTCACCACAGCTCCCGTCTGCACTAAATTAAAGAACATTTAGGGGCCCCGCCATGAAAGACGATGACATCACCGGTGGCATCGTGGGACTCCTTGCAATAAAACGCTGTGGTGTGATTTAACACAACAGGTAGCCTAAGGGGGGGGGGGGGGGGGGGGCTGGACACTTTACCCACAATGCCTTGCCGGTGCCATAACGATTTCTGGGAGCACTTAGGAGACGTGAACCACGCCCACCACGGGCCAAACCACAGGGAGCGGCACACATTGAACATCTCCACCACTGCTTCCACCCCGTTCCAACAGAACAGCACGGCTCCAAAGTGGCGCAGGACAGTGGAGAGAGGCTGAAGAAATGCCGCATAAACAGCGCGATAACACGGAGGGAAACGCAGCTGAAGGGAATAAAAGTCAGACTCACCCTCCTCGGCAGATTTCATCTTGGTGTTTGCGCAGAGAGGAACGTCCGTGAGCACAGCCGGGGGCGCGTCCTAATCCATGCAGCGGGGTTTGGATACAGTCCTCAGCTGTTGCTTTGGGTTCCCCTCGCGCTCAATCGCCGCGAACACACAACAACAAAAAGGACAACAGACAACAACAAAAAAGGCCGTTGCCACTTAAAAAAAAAAAATAGCGATCTAAAAAGTAGAAAAGTCGCATCCAGAATGGGAAAATCCAAAAGAGATGCGTAAAAGTGAGAAAATTCAAAACAAGATCATTTCTGATGCGGGCGCGGATTTTCGTCCCTCGGTCGGAGTCTGGATCGGGGGTGCGGGGGGGTGGGGGGTTATCCTGGCTCTGCTGGGTCGCCGTGACGCACTTCTCCGGCGCACTGAGGACTTGTGCGCTTTTTAAACTTGGGGATCACCTCGGCTGTCCGTCTGACGCGCCGGCCCCTCCCTCCGCGCCGTGACGCGTCCGCACACAGCCGACCAGCGCGCAGAGGACAAGGCAAGGCAATTTTATTTGTATAGCACTTTTCATACACAAGGCAGACTCAAAGTGCTTCACATTATAACATGTCATACAATAAAGTGAAATGAAATGCAGGAATTAAAAGACAATTAAAACAGGACAGGCGGAGAGCTCAAAAATGAGGTGAAGCAGATCCCCTGAAGTAATACAGTCAGTAAGATAAAGCTGAGGATGGACAGAGCGAACCGCCAGTGTTTGGAGTAGACGTCTTAAACCCAGCTAGTGAGCCAACATACGCACAGTGACAACCAACAGGATGTGTTGGGTTACATCATGTTCAAAAGGTAAACTTAAAATGTGTCCCTATTGTCCACGACTAATTTGTCCAACCTCTTGTCTACTGCATCTCCCAAATCAAGATGTATGCGCAAACTAGTCCTCACGAGCATGTAGCAGACGATGCTCGGTTGAAGGCCGCTGGGACTTTTTTTTTCAGATTGCAAGGACAGGTGGAAACACGGCAGAACGCACAGCTCGAAATGCTGCAACGCAACACAAACACGACGCTTCCTTCAGATGTTCTATATGGGCGGCGTTTCTGATTCTGTAGCAAAGGCGCTCCCTGACATAGTGCACAGTCTGCGGCGGCCCACAACACATAATTATCCATACTTTCATGGAAGTGCTATATAAAAATCTAGCAGTATACCCAGTCATTTGACACGGTGAACTGAGAATCTTCACAAAGTCTTTCCATGAGCCGCCCTCTGCGGGTTCGGCGCGCACTCATCGGGCTGCTTCTTTTTGCAAGCCGGGCCGCTGCTATCTTTGTCAGGTCCGGCCCGCTCAGCAGCTGCCCGCGTGGTTCCTGGGATGACAACGGTCACACGGCGGCTCTCCAAGAGTCTTTCCACCCTTTTGGAGGCGCTAAGCCACACGCTGAGTCACTGCAGAATCTTATCAGCTGGGCCTGGTTGGTCGACCCTTAGAGGTGGTGTAGGGGGGAAGGGGGGGGGTTCTTAGCTGGCTGGTGCCAAGACGTGTAAGGTCATCATTTCATGGTCATCAGTTCTTCATCATTTGTCTCCATTGTGCGGATCTCTCCGTCTCTTTCATCGTGGGTGAGTACTAGGGGTGTGACGATTCATTCACTGAATCGATTAATCGATTTATATTCCTGTTTGTAGAATATGTAGAAGCCAAATAAAAAAACCACAGAAACACGACGAATCTTTCCGGACATCTACTAAGGCGCCGTGGGATTAAACAACGGCGACAGTCAGGACCTCTAGCAGCGTCACCGCTGCAGCAGCAGCAGGTAACTCAGCTCTGCAGACACCTCAGGCCTCGCCAGCACCAAACTCAGCATCACAGTAACAAGTTTATCTGTAAAGACTTGCGACCCTACAAAGTGGTTGAAAACCCGGGGTTCTGTGAATTGATCCAAACATTGTGTAATTATTGTGTAATGTTTACATTGAAAATGGCACTTGATTCAAATAAAAGGTTAATACATTTGCCATTAATTGTTGTTTGCTTGTTTATAATATCCATAATTAATTTAAACCTGATTTCCTTACAAGAAACAACAGGGATCTCAGAAACTTTACCTGCACTGTCCAGTAAAGTTACTGAATCGAATCGTTCTAAATGAACCCAGATCGTCCATGAATCGCGGTTCGAATCGAATCGTTGTTAAAATGAATCGTTACACCCCTGGCGAGTACCCATGATGAAAGTTTTAGGAACCTCAAACGTTTCTTTGACCTCATGGAAATCAGTCATGGGCCTAGGTGGGGGGAGTGGTGGGGCGGGGGAGGTAAGGGGGGAGAGATTGCCACTCTACAGCTATGTGTAGCTGAGGCAGTAAACACTTCCACCCGGCTGCAGTTAATAAATAGCTCCGCTGCTGAGTGACTCGTGGTCCCGTCTACGTCAGGGCGGCGCGGGGGCTCTTTCCAGCCATGCCTGGCCCAGATTAGTAGACACATCGGTAACAGGCCACTACCGGACAGGTCCGGAGACACAACTGTACACACTGGGGAGTTGTTGCGTTATTCTCACATTTCAAGTGGAGATCAAGTCTCCGGGCAGTTGAGACACTGGAGTATTTAGCAGCTCAAGAGACAGTCATTATTCTCAGAGGTTGGTGGAGACCAAAGTCAGAGCTGGAATCGCTTTCAGCAAAAAATGGACAAACTACTACACGTTGTGTCCAACTGTGCTGTTGCTACATCGCTGAAGCTAAGTGGTCCACCAGCACACAAAAAAATAGATTTATTTAATCCAAAAACTGACTTTCCCACCCAGTAATGAGGGTTAAAGGCAGTGACACAAAGAGCAAGTGTTTGGCAACTTGGATGAGCAGCGATGAACTGGCTCCGAGCCGCCACTTCAATCCCACGGGAACATTTTCTGACCATGTGAACACTTTCAGTTGGTCAGCGTTGCCCCAGTGTATCGATGAACTAAATTGATTACGTGGTGACAATAGACGTTTAACAGTTTCAATCCCTGAATTCAAGCTGTGCCGACGGTGAGATAGTGAGCACATGTACTTTACCCCCCCCCCCTCTTGTGGTGCAATCCTTTTGGCCAATGAGTGGCCCAATCTGCTGCTGATTTAAACAGACTGTAGATCATCTTGTGTCAGGGAAACATTTACAAAAATACATTTACGTACAATTGTGAATCGGTTGTTGTCACAAACACACGTTTTTGTCATCGACCTTCTCTGCCCGGTGTGACGTGGTTTGGCTGCAGCGACGTGGAAAAGACCTCAACTCGCCTTTCTTTCCACAGTTCTTACTCTGAAAATCCAGCGCCTGGCTTTATTTGTGTCCCGACCAAAAAACACGATGGAACATTGGACGGCATTCGAAGGTATTCATAAACGAAGAAACAACCCCAAAAATGCTGCCTTCCCACTGCTGAATCACCTGTTTGTTTTGGAAAAACAAAATGAAGGGCAGATGAAAAAAAAAATATTACTGTGCGTCTTTGTGTTTAGAGCCCACGGTCGCACACCTCTTTCACCATATGTGCACTCATAACGGATATTTTATAAAGTGTTTCTTGATGTACAGTAATAAAACGCCATAAATATTCTCTGTCACCGCGGGTCGAGTGCAGGCTGTGCCCAGAAAAATGGTTTCAGGGGACATTAAGTAATTTGTGAACAAAACTGTTTGCTCAAACTTCAAAAAAGGTCTTTGGCACAACGTCCAGTGACCTGAAAAGACACGTGAGGGGAAGAAATCAGGTGCGTACAGCCGAGATCAAACAAAGGTGGAAGGTGTTATGTCGAGATTCGGAGGGCAGACATCTACCACCTGGGGATCGAATCATTGACTCACTGCTATTAAATCAACCTTGTAGTTATATTAGTCAGTCTGAGCTATTAGGGAGTAAATATCTTTCTTCCAGCACCTTGAAAAGTGTTTTTTTTCTTCTATTAGGGTTATTTGACCTGTCAGAGGAGCGGTGACCCCTCACCACACCGCCATCCCCGCTCCTTCCCACAGTCAGACTTCCTGTCTCCCATCAATGTCCCCCCCCCCCCTCCGCCGCCGTGACGGAATCCCCTGCTCTGTTTCCTGTTGTGAAGGCCCGTTGCTCGGTTACGGCCGAGGGAGGAGTTTTTATAGCCGGGGGAGCGTTCGCAGAAGGCCGGGAGGTTCCTTTTCTCTCCCCAACGCCCCTGAAGCTGGTTTTAACTCACGCACGACACTGAGCAACGCCTCCCCCCCCCCCGTCCCCCCCCGGCACACAGCCCTTTACCATCTCTCAGCTGTTGGTCACGGCTGCACAGGCTCCACGTGCCCACGGCCGTTTCCACATACACCAAGAATGGAGCTACTGTGGCTGCAGGGAAGTGCGGTCAGCATGGAGCGGCTTGTTGCTGCGCTGCACACAGCGGCGTCTGTGAAGCCGTCCGTCCGCACGGGGAAGTTCGTATCCTCTCAGGCACGTGGGAGCAGTGAAGTGGCCCGTGGATTTATCTTTATGAACATTACTTCTTCACTCGGATCAGTACACACCGGTCCGGTCAGGAATCAGGAAACATCTATTGTCAAAATATGTCAAACATACAAGGAATTTGTCTTGGCGGTTGTTGCGCGACATTAGACAGTGTAACAATAGACAACAAGACAGCAGTGCACAAGTAAAAATAAAGTAAAATGAAATGCTAATGCAATGGGTTAGTAGAATAAGGCTATGGGTTAGTATAAAACAAGGGAATAAAGTTAAGAGCATAAGCATAAAGTGCACTAGCGAACAAGTGACAAGTGACGACAAAGTGAAAAATGACATTTAAAGTGACATGTGCGGAATGAAAGAAGTGACTGGTGGAGTGTTATAGTCAGTCAGTGGGGGACCGGCTCTGTTGATGAGCCCGACTGCCGACGGGAAGAAACTGTTGGTGTGGCGGGAGGTCTTGGTCCTGATGGACCTCAGCCTCCTGCCAGATGGAAGGGGCACAAACAGTTTTTGTCCGGGTTGAGAGGGGTCGGCCACGATCTTTTTAGCTGCTTCAGAGACCTGGAAGCGAACAAGTCCTGCAGGGACGGCAGATTGCAGCCGATCAGCCTCTCTGCAGAGCGGATGACCCGCTGCAGCCTGCCCTTGTCCTTGGCTGTGGCTGCAGCGTACCAGACGGTGATGGAGGAGCAGAGGATGGACTCCATGATGGCCGTGTAGAAGTGGACCATCATCGTCTTTGGCAGGTTGAATTTCTTCAGCTGCCTCAGGAAGAACAACCTCTGCTGAGCCTTCTTGGTGATGGAGCTGATGTTCAGCTCCCACTTGAGGTCCTGGGTGATGATGGAGCCCAGGAAACGGAAGGAATCCACAATAGTGACGGGGGAGGTTGGGGCTCTGTTCCTCCTGAAATCCACAACCATCTGCACTCTCTTTA